TACATGCAGCCAAATCTCCAATAAACAAAAAAAATCTTTTCATTTCAAAAAGTAAACAAAGCACTTGTCCATGGTGGCTAGTGTCGTGTACTGATGTTCTGATTTACGTTGATGTTATCTCCAACAAACAGTCCATTTTTTCCAGCCGTCGTTCCCAATAAATTGGCCTTCACTTATCTCCACTGCTCGATCTCCAGTTGTACTTTGAAGGGACTCAGATCTAATACACCTTTGCACAAACACAATTCAGATACATATTAGTCAAAAGCATTTGTAATCTGCGACCGCAAATGAGATCAGACCAGATCTGCGACACGCGTAAACCAAACATACCTGGTTTGATTGATGTATTGATTGCTATTTAATCAATACTACCAGCACCCCACCAATCAGAAGCTGCGCTTGTGGGCGAACGTAGTTTTTCAAAGTCGTGGGGTTTGTGGGTCAGCATTTCCTTCTCTTCCCTCCCCCTCCCCTGCCATTCCTTTTTTGTTGCTGTTGTCCCAACTTTCTCAACGAACTTGTGTGGAAACACTTGCTATGCAGGCTAAGGTAAATTCGATTACTTCTTCAATGTACCCTGACCATTATTGTGTTGTTTGAGTTTTCATTGAAACAGTCCTGAGCATCTTTAGATGGTAAATGAATATATCCCGAATTGGTGATTAACAATAAAGGTGCTTTTGTGGAAAACATTCTTTGAGTTCACTCTTAACTCCCTTACTTGGCAAAATTGTCATTAATTAGATGGAAGCTTTAAAGATGTGTTTCTCCCTTAAATACTGATAGAGAAGTCTGTGTTTTTACCATTTAGTTGATACCTTGCTTTGCTGAAGTCTTCAAATTTAAGGTGGTTAAAGAGCAAAACTGTACTGGAATCATCACTGGATGCTGAACAACCTAGAAGCACATGACGTTTGAGAAAGTAGGTTATTTTTTAATTAAATACAGTCAACTCCCTTTATGGCGAATACCACCAGGGTTCTCAACAAGAGCCGTCAGCCGACAAAAATCGCTGGCTATTTCACATGAACTCGCTGCCTACCTTTCTTTGAAATTACCCCGCCAAAAGCCAAAATTTAATGATGTCTGTATTCTGTTTGAACACTCTAATTTTGCTCCAGAATGCTGGAAATGCACTCTAAAAGGCCCAGATTTCAAAATTTTTTCTGTAGGCATTCCCGTAGAACCCCCTAGTTACTTGTGCTTCTGGCGTGGACAAGTTGCCCCTGTGCCGCAAGTTTTTTCCTCCTCCATCTACTCCAAAGCTTTTGTCACCTTCTTAAAACCTTATTGAAAACCCTGCACCACAGTGACCTTAAGTTAGTGTTGTCATTACCTTTAGCGAAAGTCTGTAACAGTAGGAATTTGTTTCAGTCAAGTTATTATTGCCTGGGATTTGGCTGCTTTCTGTATTATCATGGTGTCTGTTATAGTTGGGCGTCTTAGGTGAGGATTGACTGTACTTTTTTTAACGAATAAAAATAAAGTGGGGACTCGTTTGGGTGAGTTGATATCAAGCTTCATTTGTGGATAAAGTTCATTGTGGTAACATTGGTCTCACTGGCGTGGCAAAAGTTTTTCCCTCAAACAGAGATTCTAACCCTATCAACTAAAAGAAGGGATTTTCTAGGAACGGCATACCTGCTCCCATGAGCACTGTACAGTACCGCTCAAAAGAAAGCTACCACTCTCTCACCTCTCGCGAGACGCCAGTTGAGTCGCGCTACGCAATTCCTGTAGCACAGGACGCGATTCTCGTAGGGCGCAACAGCCTCATGGCCAAAATTCTTCAGCGACTTCAAGAATCGATGATAAAGCTTTACTGTGACTAACACGCAAACAAATGTTTACCTCTGTGATGCGTAGAGTGTTGCGTATTAAAATTTGCTTTGTGAAGGATTGGTATTTCCGTATATATTTAAAACATGCTTTTAATTAAGTCACTTTATATCCACTGCACAGCATTGAAAACTACCTGTTTTAAAAAAACTTTAAGATAACAGCTTTTTTTGGAACTGCCTGCAGGTATTGTTAAACGTTTCAACCTGAAATGAATTGTAGACCGATAGGCAACACTTCCAAAAGGGCTTTCATACCTTTTGGCTTCTTTTGGACACAGGCTTTTAGTCAGGATTTTGAAAGTGGGAGTCCAAGGCACCATGCTCCTAGGGGGGTCTGGGGGCATGCTCGCCCAGAAAATTTTGAAAAATTGAAGCCTCTTAGACGTGATTTCCGCAATTCTGACAGCTGTAAACGTCTTTCAATTTACCTATTAAACTGCTGTTTTTCCTTGAAAGCTTTACTAAGCTATCCTTTCCTCAACTTACCTTGTCAGGGCTCGAAATTGCGACTGATACGGTCGCCAATGCGACTAACATTTTCTCCTTGGCGACTAAAAATTCTGGTTTAGTCGCCAAAGTGGCGACCAGATTTCTCTATATTTTAGACTTAAATTAAAAGAGTAAAGTTAACACAAACATTTCATATTATCTTGCTTTGCTTTCATCATAAAAAATGTGCCAAATCTCATAAATAAGCCAGTTTACCTTAAATCTGATGGATCGTGCCATTCTATGCAGGGCTTCTGATAGGTTGCGGAAAAAAGTCAAATTTCGCGGGATTTTAGGTACAAATTCGCGGAAAAATCAGCCAATTTCGCGGAAATTTTCGGAGCAAACTTCGCGAAAAAGCAATCGGTAGAAACTGCCGATTTTGTGGTTATTTTCAGGAAAAATTCGCTAGAAATTGATCGGTTTTGCTCTGATCAGACCAGCACTTTAAACGTTTTTCTAACAGAGGTCATCATTTGCTCTCTCAACAACAATACGCCCCAGAAATAAACCAATGGCAAAGCCGTTAACATCATGGCTAGTGCCCAGTTTTTCGCAACGTAACCTACGCCTGGTGGTTTTGGGACGTTGTTTGCACGTTTCAGTGAGGAAGTGTCTAGATAAATTTGCTGAGATAACTTTCAAATATGTTGTACAAACATGTACGTGATAAGATTTCTACTGAATTTCACAGTATTATGCCTGCTTTTGTGACTTTCGCGGATTTACCTGAGTTTCACGGCTTCGCGACCGCGCGAAATGTATCACAAGCCCTGAGCTGCGTCATTTACATTATAGAAACCGGCGGCTAAAAATTTGCATCTGGCGACTATATTTCTCCAGTTGGTCGCCAAAAGGCGACCTGAGGATTTTTTTAATTTCGAGCCCTGCTTGTTTAACATTGAATTATATATGGGACAGGAACTCCAGTTGTTATGAAGAGTGATTGAAATTTGAAGTTGTCAAGCCATGATTTACACGAAAGAACAGATATGCGTGGCTTTGTTGGTCGAACTGCATTCTGGTCTACAAGTGCCAGTCTCCCAATCTCAGAAATGCAACATCTTTTATTATTTTCAGTAAAGAACTTTAATTTATGTGTTGTGTAGTCATTATTTACATTCAGACAATTGGTAGCGCAAAGCCTAAGACCTTCTCAAACAAAACAAATCTACTCAATTACAACTGTAAGTCAGTTTAATAAACCAATATAAGGCCTAAACTGTTGAACTGCTTATTGGCCTAAATTGTGCGTTATTTGGATTTTATATTCTTCGCGGTTGGCGGTCGAAAATTACTCTAGCTGCCTCGTAGTTGACGTCTTCAATTGGAATCCCGGCGTAGCTTAGCCTGATCAGCTTGTCCAATTGAGTGATGTTGAGCAGCATCCTTGATTTCGTCTTGATCCGATTTTGACAGCTAAAGACCCGCTCAGCTTCTGCATATGTGCGTAGTTATTTATAGCAGACGGCAAAGTAGCCTGGGGACGACTTGGTAAGTCAATATCACTGAACAGCGGCTTTGCCTGTGAAATCGCTTCGCTCAACTTTGATTCATTTGATCAAAACAGAAAGGAAACTCGCTAAAAAAGTGTTAATATAGAAGAAAAATACAACAGCAACACTAAAACAACTCTTGAGAGCAAAAAGAAATGTAAGTTTTATTAATTTATAGACACTGTTTTGTTACATTAAGCACAGAAGTTCGTAAATGGCCGCCCAAAACAGGCCGTCGAAAATCTCCCAGTTCTGAGAACTGGCCGTCCTTTGGACGGCCGCCTGACTAAAACCCTGTTTGGACGCACGGATGTGCTAGCAAACTCTACTGGAAAAAGTCTACGTTGGATATTAAAACCTGTCATTTCATGGAGCTGCTTTAAAGTTTGGGCCAGTGAGTTTATCGAAGTGCCGAAAAGCGTATCTTTTCATACAGTACCTGAGGAGTAGGTTTAAAATTTCACAGGTTTTGACACTTTGCAAATTTGTTCAGTAAATGTACTGTTGTCTTATTTGGCTGCTGTAATTTGTTAAATTCCAGACAGCTTTCTTTCATAAATCAAGTGTTCTGTATAAAAAAGCTACAAAGAGCAGGTTAAGCTAACAATATTTCGTGATCAAAGGCCGAGTTGTATTTTTAGCAATTGTTGATATCTCGTCAGCGAAAGTTGCCGCTAGAACGTGTAAACGATAACAAATGCACTTGTTTGGCCGCTGTAATTTGTTACATTCAAGACAGCTTTCCTTCATAAATCAAGTAATGACAGAGAAAGCTACAAAGAGCAAATTAAGCTAACAATATTTCGTGATCGAACGCCGAGTTGTATTTTTACCGATGTTGTTGATATCTTGTCGGCAAAAGTTGCTGCTACGCATGAACGGTGACCACGCATTTCAAAGGAGCTGACAAATTTCTTTGGTGGAACTCATCGCTAGTGATTTGCAGTATATTTGGTTCTTCTGATTCTTGCACTATGATTCTCATAGCGCACGACGAGAATCGCGTAGTGCATGATGGGGTCCTCGTCGTGCAGGAAACGAGACGCGACTGGTTTTGAGCGGTACTGTAGGTGCCAGCCTCTAGGGGGAAAATTTTTTTTGATATGTGCTTCTAAGATGCTATTTCCTGCATTTTGAGATCACAGTCAATGGAAATACTGGGCCCAAAATTATCACAGGCTCATGGCCAGATGCCAAAAGGGTAAAAATGTCTGAGAAACTACAGTAAAATGGCAAAGAAGTATGCTAAAAAGACTGGTTCAACAAAGGAATTGAAGAATTTAAAAAACTGGGAGAACATTAAGCGAAACTGGTAGTCTGGAAACATTTGCGAAAAACAGGAGGTTTCTGGCCAAAACGTTTGGGTTGGAATCTCTGCTCAAATGCTGGAAGATAACTGTGTTTTTGCTTATTAATTGTGACAGATGGTATGCCATTACAACATCAAGCCATGTACCCTGTTTTGCTGAAGAAGTCTTTTAACTGTGCGGAAAGTATTAAACTGGAATATACAACTACTTACATGGAAGAAAAGTCCATTGGAATCATCACAGCAGGCTGAACAACATAGAAGTACGTGGCATTTGGAAAAGGTAGGGGTTTTTATTTAATACTTGTTTTAAACATTTAAGAATAAAAATCAACGATAAAAATTTTGAATGACGTTTCGATGACTCGCTCATCATTTTCAAATTCTAAAAAGTTAGATTGTTAAAAATTCTTTATGTATTAAGAATGCGTGTGAAGTCTCGTTGCACGTGATTAAAAACTACAATGTGGAATGTAGTGAGTGTTAACTAGGCACTACATAGTTTCGCTTTTATTGACTCTGATTGAGTGTTCAGTTTGGGTTTCTTTTCCTGGATAAAAAGCATTTCGTAGATCAAGCATTCAAATTTCCCACGACATTTCTTCAGTATAGTGAATTGTTCAGTGAGGTCTTTGTCCTCCTGATTGTGAGAGTCACGCAGGTGTTTTCCAATAGCTGAGTGCTTGTGTTCAACAATGCATTGGAATACTTGTTCATGACTACAGTAGAACCCCGGTGGTGAACTGGAACTCTAAAGGGAAACGAAAAATAGTTCGATTTTAAGTGGGGAATTCGAGTTATCGGGGTAAATTTCAGTGAAATCTTGATCAAGGGAAAGCAAATTTAGTTCGACGTAGCGGAGAATTCGAGTTATCCGAGTTCGAGTTATCGAGGTTCTACTGTATTAAATCCGCCAGAATGTGATCGAGTATTAGCTTATTCACGTAGAATTCCATCAACCATTTGCAACAACGACTACAGTTTTGTCTCTAGTAAACAAAAAGGAACCAATAAATGGTTTTCCATGCCATCTTGAAGTTTCGTGTTCATATATGGGAATGATCTATAATTTTACGTTGATCTCCAGCTTCATTATTTGAGTACGTGGTTACCATCAGAAGACACATTACGAACAGCAGGAATGTACCTTTACCTTTCACAATCCAGCTGACTTATCGTTCTCGGACATGACTGGAAGCACGTTTCATGTGTCAACAACAAAATAAATGAACAATCCGCTTTTAAAATAACGTCAATTTCGGATGCAAAATACTTGTGCTCTTGCTAATGAAAGTCCGCGTGAATTTGAACTCACCAAACGGAACTTCATTTCACACTTTTCCAGTGGTTCAAAAAGTGCACATGATGAATTCCTAGGAATTCCTAGGAATTCCCAGAACTCTGGAAATTCATTTGGCAAGGGTGACTCTGGCATATTCATTTTGTCGTTTGATTTGTCTCTTGGTGGTACAGTTTGATATCATCTGTAGGCCCGGAGTAAAAAGGGTTATAAAGATTTAGTGGAGGTGAAAAATTGTGTTGAGGGAAAAAATTGCCGTGGTCTATTTGTCTTCCTGGCTTAACAGCAAAGCAGTGTCCATCTTAAAAATAATAATTTTTTTAAGAAAGTGTTAGGAAAGGTTAAGAAAGGTTGCAAGATTTGGTTTACTCTTGCCGTCTGTCTTTGGGCTTTGTTTCTTCTGTTTCTTGCACGCATGCTGTCTTGTGACCCTAATTCTAGCTGCTATCATTTGTGTAAAATTGTAGTTTTTTAAATTGATTGGTCAAAAACATTGATCAGTCAAAAGGGTTCAGGGGAAGTAAAGAACTGCCTGTGCAAAAACATTTCTGTACTTAGGGTTTGACAGAGACTTGAATTCTTAAAATTGTTAGGATAATAGAAAAGAATGGTTGAAAAGTCTGAGGTTTTTATTTTCCAATGAGTAAAAATTTTTTTCTGTGGTCAATCTTTCCTGTAGCTAAGACATTCAAAAAACATATAAGAGAAGTCTTAGAACTGACTTTTATGCCTGCATGGCACCCTGGGTAATCTAAGTTTGAAGAGCATCATGAGATAAGCTTGGGCCCTGTGTTTTACAATGTACTGTCTCTATTGATCTCAAGTTTTATAACCTTGAGACTGGAAAATGAAATTGTGGTCCTGAATTTTGGATCAAAAAATCTGTACAAACCTGCTGTACTGTACTTGGCACATGTACCTGAGTTGAAAGATTTAGTCAACACTCCCACCCACTTTGACCTTTACTGTGCTAAGGTGGTCTCCAAATGTTCCTTGACAAGTTGTTGCACAATGGTAGAGGTTTTGTCAATGGGTCATTGTGGGGTTGCTCAATGCCTCCAGGCAGTAGTTCCTTCCTTCCCTTACAGGATTCCTATTGCCTTTTGTTACTCTGGCTTTGCCGTAATATGTGCTAAGTGATCAATATCAATGGTGAAGTGTCCATTTCAAGAACTTTTCATACTCTTTCCATACTCTTCTACTAAGCTGTTTTTTTGGTATTGAAGTTCAAACTCTTGGCAGGGCTCGAAATTGCGACTGATACGGTTGCCAATGTGACCAACTCTTTCTCCTTGGCGACTAAAAATTCTGGTTTAGTTGCCACTTTGGCCACCAGATTTCTCTATGATTTAGATTTAAATTAAAAGAGTAAAGTTAAAACAAACATTTCATCTTATCTTGCTTTGCTTTGACCATAAGAAATGTGTCAAATGGTATAAACAAAGCCAGTTTACCTCCAAATTTATACCAACCGATGTTGGTGATATTTTCAAACAATCAAATTTGATGGATCGCGCCATACTGCAGAGATCAGATTGGTCGCGGAAAAGTCAAATTTCATGGGATTTTCAGAGACAGATTTGTGGAAATTTTCGGGACTAACTTTGCCGAAAAACAATCCGTAAAAAATTTCATGGAAATTTTCAGGGCAACTTTTGCTAGAAATCGATTGATTTTGCGCTGATTTGGTGAGTGTGTTTAAGGTTTTATAACTAAGATAATCATTGCTATTTTAACAAGCGCTCGAGAAATGAGCCAGTTGCAAAGCTTTTAAACATCATGACTAGTGCCCAGTTTTTCGCAACATAATTTATGCCTGGTAGTTTCGGGATGTTCTTTGCTCGTTGTGGTGATGAAGTTTCAAGATAAGTTTACAAGTTTACAGCAATTTAACAGCCCCAATAGCTGAGATGAGTTTCAAATATGTTGTATCGACATATATTTGATAAGATTTCTCGCGAAATTTGCAGTATTTTGCATGTTTTTGTGAATTTCGCTGGATTTTGCGGATTAACCTGAAATTCGCGGCTTAGCGACCACGCTAAATATCAAAAGCCCTGATACTATGAGGTGCCTCACTTACATTCTACAAACTGGCAACTAAAAATTTGCATCTGCCTCCTCCATGTGCCGCTGATCTATTGTCCTGCATGTCTTTGCTTTCTCTACTCCTCTGATTTTCTGTAATCTTGTCTTCTTGCTTATTCTTACACAAGTCTGCTCCAATTACTTTACTCAAGAGTGTATTAATTAACAAACAGAAAGTTAAAAATCTATCTATCTTTGGCGTTGTTCCATACAATTCTTTTCCTTTGAGTGTGCTCAGAAAACCAGTTCCGATTTTCCCTACCAATTTTGCAGAGAACGATCATGGCATAAAAAAATGAGGCATGCATGCCGTTGTTGTTGCCACAAAGACCATTTTGACATGTGAATAGTGTTATTTGTCAGTTCACTCTCACATGCATGCTACCTCCCACTGACTTGTATGGATCAATAATTTATGGTATTAGTCCTGCTCCTCATAATGCAAAAGTTGCAGATCTCCTGCCCCATCACCCTTAGCCGACCGTGAAATGGTTCCACATTGATACAAGGCCATTTTTTGGGAAGTGCACCTCATAGAATTAATCCTATTGACCTGAAAAATAAAGTGAAGAAAATGATGTATAGAATAAGAATTCTCTCTAAGATATATTATTAAGTGTAGATTGCAGAGAAGACACTCAATATGAGTTATTCCTTTTTTGCCAACTGCTTCCTCAGAAGTAGTTTTTATGAATGTTGTAAATGGTTTGATAGGAAAGGTCTCTATTGTTTTTTAAGAGGTCCATGGCCAAAGCCCTGTATCTTCTAAATTAATGTTTTATTTATAATAGTGAGGAAAGGGAAAACCTACTTTCAGCTATTTTTCAAAAATAGTGTTAATAAATATGATGCAGTTAAAAATGTTAGTAGTAAACAAGGAGGTAACTTACTGCTTCCAGTTGATGTAGTAATGCCAGGGGTGACATGATAAATATTATACTTTGTAATGATGCATAATCTTATTTGCAGAAAAAGGAAAGCCTTTTTAAAAATTTTTTTAAAACAATCTTAATAATGATAGTAAAAGGCTTTGACAATACTATTACCAATGTTGAAAATGATGCTTGATCTTATTTACAATGACTTATGAATAAACTAAAAATAAAATTAATTTAATTTGTGGAATGAAGAAAGCTTGTAAAAACGGAACTAAATAGATGGTTTATTTTAAAGGAATGGGAAGTAAGAAACTCTGCTCATGTGGACGAGTAATTGAACTGATGCAATTCAAATGAATAAAACTCTACGTCTGTTTGCAGTTTTTTAGGAAGTTCTGGTAACTCCACGAAAAGGGGTAGGCAGTGATGATTTGAAAAATTTAGGACTTGTTTCTTTGTATGATAGATTGTATTTGTATCCACTTTTGTTAAGTGTGTCTTGGTATGTACTTTTGGCTTTGTCAAAACATTCTTTGTCGAATGATATTTCTGAAAGACGCTTGTTGATTGATTCAGGGATATTCCTCAGGTCTGGCATAGCTTTTGAGACGGGTGTTTTTGGATCTTGATCTTGTTCAGCCATTTAACGCTCTTGGTTTTCCGTTGAAAAAATTTCTTAACTTTTATTGTTTTGCTTTGCCCAATCCGACTGTTCCACGCTTATCCTTACCCTTTTAAAGGGAAGTGGAATCCATTAAAAAACTTGTGTTCAGTTAACTGTATACTATTTCCGTGTTTCTTCTGTTTAATTCTGGTGGCTGTTTTTGCTTTCCAGTTCACATTTCTTAGTGTCCCCTTTAATTTAAGGACTTAACTTCCAAGTATACCTTTCTTTATTTTTTAAGTACAAATAAAGTCACATCATTGCCTGCGGTCTCATTTCCGCAGTGTGTGAAAAATGAATTCAAAGTTATTTTTCTGCCATTGTGATGCGACCAAAAATACGTTTGAACTTAAGAGCAATACTAGACAAGGGTGGAGATGGGACCACGGGGAAAATGCAAGGTTTATGGCTTTGTAAATGATATTCGTCGCAAATTGGATAAGGTAAATACTTCGCTGTGTGACTCGCATGGTCTCTAACCGGTATGCTTCAGGATGCAAACATGCAAAGTGTCAATATGTTTTAGCTGTAAACTTGCCTGACACAATTCTTTTTCCCGCAAGAAAAAATGTGATGAGGACGGTGTATAACACATCCATGTCTGTTCGATTCAAGCTTTCTCGTACGGCTATTCTTCTCAAAAGTAACTCTCACAAATGGCAAGGACGCTGGATGCTGGTTATGGCCAAAAAGTTCTTGTTCAGCTGCACTTGAACACTAAGCATAGGCCGACAGACAGCTGTGTATAATTGATAATTGTGTTTCATTGACAAAAGTGTAACGGGTAAACTTGGTGTTAAAAAACTGCTTTCCTTCCAAGTTCGATTTTTTCTCTCTTCTTGTCTTTCCAGAAAGTGTACATCTTTTCCAGGGCTTTGCAGGAGGGCTGCAGATCCAGGTTGCTATACCAAATCAGAAAATCTTTTAATGTGTGCATGTGGTTGTCGGACCAGTCTTGTTTGGAAATATTCTTCTTTTTGAGTGTAGAGAAGAAGGCTTTGTGAGGTGCAAGAGAAGGGTGTTGTAACTTGTCACGAGAGTTTACCCATTCTTATGGAAAGCACCCTTTGGTTTGAGGACACTCCTAGCCCATGAGAAACTTGTTGTAACTGAACCCAGGAGCCAGAAAGTTGGTGACTTCAAGAAAACGGAGATGAGGAGTCTTAATGCATATGAAGTCATGGTCATGCTTGATGGTAAATTGAACACCTTCCTCCTGAAGAGGAGGAATACCAAACTTGAAAAGGAAATCAAAGTAACCTAATGAAAACAATTCCACATTTATTGGATAGATTGACTTACTGCCTTCCATGCAATACCACCCTTAGTGGTAATTGGCAATTGCATAGGTTGACAGCATTGTTGGCACCCGCTAGAACTTTCTACCAACGTCATCCGCCACTTTCTTAAACACTTTTTATGGGTAGTTTGCCCACAGCTTCGTAGTCCCCTTAAGTTCCACCCTTCCTCAAGGCAAACCACACAGGTTGATAGAACCTTGAGAGAAAACAAAAAAAGAGTTATTTTTCACTCAGGTTTACCCCTTTTTGGAAAAAGATTACATATTTGTTTTGTGAAAGCGAATACTGCAATATCTCCAATTTACTTGGCAAGTGATGAATGGAAAGCAACTGGCACAGACCATGCCGCTCCAAAAATTAGCTCCGGGCTCATAATCTTCACTTTGTCACTTATGTCCAGGGTCGATCTTGTTAGCAAACATTTGCCAGCAAATTGTTTTTGCCATTTTAACAAAAAGGATTTAAAGAAAACTGCTATCAGAAAAGCATAGAAGAAATAGCAAATGTCGCAAAAATCACAAAAGTAAGAAGAATTTTTCTTGCTATGTGAAAAGAAATGTAACAAAGAGTATACAGTATAAATATGGCAAAAATAGCAGGAATAACAAATTTTTCAAAATTCTACTTTTACAGAGAGAAAAGGCCAAGAAGGGCTTTGTGAAGTCTTCTTCTCTTTTTTTCTTTTGGCAAAACAGTCCATCATAAAGCTAAAGAATTACTGGCTATGATATTCTGGGCTGTGGAAGATTCCAAAACCATTTCGCTCCCTTATTATATGCATGAATTTACCCTGACATTGTGGTGCGGAAAAATTAGGTGGCAATCTTTTTCCCTACTTTGTCGCGTTTATAACAAACAAGACAGTTTCTCTTTACTTCAGAAACACGAGGGATGTGTTGGGTTGCAAAACACACAAGGTGGAGGTGGAGCCCTTGGCCTACCACTAGTATAATAGGGGGGATCACCATATTCTTCAAAACCACAGATCTGGCGAACATGTTCATCCCTAAAATCACATTGGGTATATCCAGCTGGTCTTTCAATCTAATCTGGATTCTTAGCCTTATATTGTAAAAACAAAATGTAACTATTAACTACAGCTATGTCTATTAGATGGAAAAAACAGAGTTTTCCACCATCGCAAAATGCTCCAAAAATAAAAAAAAACTTTCTACACTTACAAAAAATTCGCTGCGGGCTGATAATCTTCACTTTGTCTAGGGTTCTACAGACTTCCGTGGCAATGTATCGCTGTTATTCTCTATTGGTTTTCTTTATTTCTCTGAATTTGCATTCATACGTTTCTTCCACGTTATCGCCTTTGGTTTTAATAAACCATGTACTGATCAGCAAAGATGTGGCTTAGCTGTTTGGGAAGGTTGGCTGGACTGATGGTTGAAAGGTGGAAATTATACCCATCTTGAAGTCTGTTTCTTCTGCTTGATTGGCTACGGAACTGCTAGTGTTGATGGTACGTTTGGGTGATATTTTCTTCCCTGGTAGGAGTAAGGCTCGAAGGGATAAGAACCTGATCAGCCACCCAACTAGACCCAGCATCTGAGGCTTGCGATGTAATTGATGAAACAGTCTTTTTGGTCCTTTTTGCAGCTGGTGCTTCATTTGAGGTCTTGGTACTGCGTTTACGGTTGGTGGGTTGTGCGGTTAAATGCGTGGTGCCAATATGAGCATTGTCTTCGCTTAGAAATCAGGGCAAAATTGACGACTTTCATATTTTTATTAATATCTCTGCTGGTATTTACAGCAGTGTTTTACGCAATATCCCATTTGAAAGAGAGATAAATTGGCTCTTTAAAAAACATACATTATTCTCCATACATTCAATAGTTTTTTTAAAAAAATTCAAAAGTGAAAAAATTTACATAGTTGATGCAAAGAAAACCAAGATGGACGCCATTTGGTCCAAAATGAAGTGTCTTTGCAGGGTATGTTTAAAAATGAATCTGTTGCTTTATTTGTAGGCCAACTGCAAGTCAAATTTCCCTCAAAAGAAGCCAATTCAGCATTTTTTAGATATTATTTTTAACATCTACTCATTAAAAAAAAATGAAACTTTTTGGGGGGGGGTGGGGTGTAGGAGTTATATGAAGGTGATGCAGAAAGCCCTTCTAAACCCCTAACAAGCCATAGTGTCAGTATTTTGATTTTTTTTTTTTGCAATAAATGACTATAAATGGTAATAATAATAATAAAATGTTTTCAAGAAATATTTTTTGGGGAAAAAAAAACCCACCGCCATCCCTGCCAGCATCTGTGAGGATACTGAAAAGGTTATTGAACGTATTCTACAATAGAAAATAAAAATAGTGCAACAAATAATGTATTCAGATCTATATACTTGTGATGTTTACGCATCTAAAGTGGTGTTGTGTCATCAGCTCATTTAAAAATGATACAAATACTTAGATACTCCCTGATGCAATACAATGCCCTCTCCATCTACCTATAAAGAAACAAAACAAAGCTTTAGAAAATCTGAGAAAACAGTTAATTGATTTTGTTTTGGACCACACTTACAAGTAAAATACTACTTTTTTCGTTGGAATTTTAAATTTTTTTTATACTTAATTTCTTTTCTTTTTTTTTTTAAGTTTCTTTTTTTTCTTTTGGCAAAACAATCCATCACAAAGCTAAAGAACTACTGGCTATGATATTCTGGGCTGTGGAAGATTTCAAAACAATTTCGCTCCCTTGTTATATGCTTGAATTTACCCTGACATCATGGTGAGGAAAAATTAGGTGGCAATCTTTTTCCCTACTTTGTCGCGTTTATAACAAACAAGTCAGTTTCTCTTTACTTCAGAAACACGAGGGATGTGTTGGGTTGCAAACACACAAGGTGGAGGTGGAGCCCTTGGCCTACCACTAGTATAATAGGGGGGATCACCATATTCTTCAAAACCACAGATCTGGCGAACAAGTTCATCCCTAAAATCACATTGGGTATATCCAGCTGGTCTTTCAATCTAATCTGGATTCTTAGCCTTATATTCTAAAAACAAAATGTAACTATTTACTACAGCTATGTCTATTAGATGGAAAAACAGAGTTTTCCACCATCGCAAAATGCTCCAAAAATAAAAAAACTTTCTACAGTTACAAAAAATTCGCTCCAGGCTGGTAATCTTCACTTTGTCTAGGGTTCTACGGACTTCCGTGGCAATGTATCGCTGTAATTCTCGACTGGTTTTCTTTATTTCTCTGAATTTGCATTCATACGTTTCTTCCACGTTATAGCCTTTGGTTTTAATAAACCGTGTACTGATCAGCAAAGATGTGGCTTAGCTGTTTAGGAAGGTTGGCTGGACTGTTGGTGGAAAGGTGGAAATTATACCCATCTTGAATTCTGTTTCTTCTGCTTAATTGGGTGTGGATCTGCTAGCGTTGATGATACGTTTGGGGGAGCCCTTATCCACAAATTCCTTGATGGTCACGACGGCACGAGCACAACACAGGTTGTCCTTGTTTTTCATTGGTATAACACAATGTTTCTTTTTGGTTAGCTTCTTCCAAGCGATTTTTCCAGGGTTTCCACGTGCTCCCCCATTCTTCCTGCCACGCCCCAGGGTTTTAAGAAAGGTGAGCTCTACATAGAAACCATCCCTCTCAGGATCCATGACTTGGGCTGAATTCAATTTACGAGCCAAATCTTCTAAATAGGCGCGCGCTTAATCTTGATTATTCAACCATTCATGTAAAGGAACATTAAGTGCCGATTGTGCCCAGGTATTGGTAAAGAATTGGAATGGATAGCCATAAGTAAAGAATATTGCGCTGTGTTAATTTGTTCACTTTCCACGACTTGCTCCAATCCCTGCCTTATTGCCTTGGCTAATGCTTCCCCCAATGGTTTGTTTTCTTCTGTGGTTGGAAGTTGAAGAAATGTTAGGTGAAACTTCTTTTGATGCACTATTCCGTGAAACGAGCGATTTCTTCCAGCCGTGGTAAAAATTGTTTGAAATAACGGGTTGCCTCCCCGCCTGTCATAACGGCGAAAAGCCGCTAATAATACATCATCTTGCCCATCGTTCATTAAGGCTATAAAATAGAAAAAACGAAAAACCTGTATTAACCCCTGGCTGGTCTTTGCCACTACGTTACCCCTGGTTCTAACGTCTATTTTCACTTCACTTGTCTAAAAGTTCAAGTTTCTGTTTTTGTTCACTTAGGCGAAACAGCTGCAAAATTTACGCGGGTCTTTTTTTCTTTTGGGAATTTTAGCACTGGTTATCAGGTCCCGTTGCAAACTATAAAAAACCACACTTACCTTCTATCTCGGGGTCCATAGCTCTGCTGTCCACCATTTCATCATTGCCTTCGTTCAGTGTCGCTATATAAAAGAATACAAATACTTATTCTAATGGCCTCACCTCTCTTCTAAAGCAACGTGTCTTTTTTTGCTTTGTTAAGAGCGATTACTTACCTTGGATTTGGCTATCAATGGCTTGATTATCGTTTTCCATTCTGTCTTGAATAAGCTCGCTTCTGACACCCACTTGGCAATTGATGGGGCTGAATGAAGTCTATTCACTTACTTGGCACAAATAATTGCAAGCAGGGTTTCGACCTTTGAGCTGAATTTGCATACAAACTCACCCTAGTGTATACCATTGATGTCAATCAAAGTAGATTTCTTGAGCTAGGCTGATTGTATGACACAATTTGTTTTTTGTTTTCGCCATCTTGTTTGACGTCAATGCCATGATAGAGTGCATGTTTTGGTTTTTACACATTTATTTCATCATGTTTTTCCCTTCTACTTCTTTTTCTAACCATTTTCACCATTTATTTCATGTTTTTTCCTTCTACTTCTTTTAAGCCGCCATCTTGGTTTCCTTTCAGGGATTAAGAACCTTTGTTTTCCCTCATTAACCCACCATCTTGTTTCACGTTAATGGTTTCTATATTTTTTTGCGTTTTAAACCCTCCACATTTATTTGTTTCCCTCTTTTTTCCAGTCAATAACTCACACGCAATTGCCGTCTACTTTTTTATTTTAAGCCTATTTACAAAGTGGGACGTGTGGAGATGCCTAGATCTCTCCGCCCAATGCAACAAAATCTTGAAATAACTTAAAATACAACGATATACATTTTTGTCTCATCAACCACTGACTTTCAATTGTTGCATTTACAAGACAAACTGTTCGAATACTTTTCTAGAAATATGTAAGTGCATGTCAAAATCAGTGGTTCATTACAATAAATACATGGTTTTCAGGAATATCTGGATAGGTTCTATTAAATTCACTAAAGGCCGAAAGAACATCAAAGTCTTCATAGTTCATAAACTTCAAGTAGTCTTGGATTAGTAAACGGGCAACTCCAAGGCAAAATTCGCATCCGCATCTTTCTGCATTATAAGCCCACTAAGTGAATGGGCATTGCGGCAAAAGCCTGATTTCCGAAAAATTCGTCTACAAGAGATTTAAAACACAAAACTGAATGATTATTGCGTGTAACTTTCACTTGTTGATGAATCATGCACCGCCTTTTGTATTTCGATTGTGGCCCAAGTGCCTCGTAAGGTTCTCTCTTCATCCGTGTGAGTACACACATTCGTTCTCTCGAGCCAAGGCTTGGTCTGTTCTTCCTTGACGCAGGCAGCACAGAGAGGAAAGTTGAGCTTGCCCCCAGCTCTATAGGGTAACACAGGCTGTAACAGGCGTTCGGGAGGCAAAATATCAACGAGAGCCACACCAAAATAATGATCGATATTTTGGTCGTTTGGATTTGTGTAGATGAGTGGGAATCGGACAGGGTGCTCTTTATACTTGTTCACCCAGGAGTACAAGGAGGTGGCGTCAGCATATTTAATCAGATCTGGTTCTTGCACTTGACAATGGTGGGTGACTGCCCCAGTTCTTCCTCCATAAAAGGCGTCTCGTGGGTTGAGGGGAGGGACGAGTTCCAAGTCTTGAAGGAATGCTTGCAAGTTGGCATCGGTTGCTTTGTCTTTCTTAAACTCGCATTCCCACTTCTCTATGAGGGTGTGCCCTGCTTGTCGTAGCATGGCAGCCGTTTTTAGGGTTTCGTCATACACTTCCTGGATGGTACGATCCAAATGGCAGTTGTTTTTCACATTTCTGTGCCGTTTGAAGCACTGAGGGCAGCCGTGATACCAACACCTGTAAAACTCAGACGGTGTTATTTTCTTCATCGAAGCCGTCCACATAATAACTTTCTGCTGAGATGAGGACCTGGACCTTGCCTCCATTATGTACATGGCGGACACGCCCCATACCACCCAGTAAATGATCTTGATAGTAGAGCCATTCCAAGGCAATGGTACTTTGATTGATGTTATTGCCGTGCCATCCCCCTAAAGGCTCCAGGGCAATGGGACCTTCTTCTAATTTTTCCTTCCGCCAGAAGTGGTTACAGGCTGAAGCAATGGTGACAGACTGCACAAGGGGATTGAAGCCAGCAATTTCTTGAAATTCATTGGCAAATTGGAGACAGCCCTATTTGAGCAATTTCACGTCGCTCTCAAAATATTTTAAGAGTTCTTCTTGAAAGTTGAAGATGGCATTCTGGGCGACTTTTTGTTGGTACCAAGTCATAATCTTGTCCCTTTTCTTGCTGTCGAAGGTGTCGGGGTCATATTCTGATATGGGTGGGTAATGACCTTCATAATTCCAATTCTCTTCCGTATTAAAGGCATGGGGAAAGTACCCCTTGTGCAGTTCTGTCAAATGAAGGTGGATGGAAAGCGTTCCAAAGGCATGGCAAAGAAATTCAAGCTATCTTTAAAAATCAGGTTTCCACATTCAAAAGATAAGATTTTAGCCCCCTGGGTCAAGGGTTTCTCGACTGCACGACCTTGATCGTACAAGGCTTTGAGAAGGAAGTTGCCGTCAAATCCACGAAGATTATGAAAGAAGGTAATGACTTTTCGAGGCCTCACATCATCTTCTACTTCCGTCATGGCTTCACAGGCGTCTAAAAATTCATTGATGGTAGTGGCGTGGTGAATGTCCTCATCTTCTTCACTTGACCAGTAGATGAGGTTGGGTTCAACCGCCTGGTCTTTTGTTAAGGCACATTCGATGTGCGCAAAATTCAGGGTGGGCGGTGGGGGTGGGGGGCCCTTCTTCTCCTCGTCATCATCATCATCACCGAATTGCAACTGTAGGGGGTCCTCAAAATCTTCGTCGTCTTGTTGCTGAGGCTCTTCCTCGAAGATGGGTTGGATGTAACACCTGTGAGCCACATGTGCAAATTCACCACAATTTTTGCAGGTGACATCGTAGCACTTATGGGGCTTTTTTGGGTTGACAAAATACACTGCACAGCACAGAGGACATTTCTTAAATTGCTCGCAACTACTCTTGTCTCCTCTTTTCTTGCCTTTGACTTTATGGCTTTATTGATCGTGCTAAGGTACACGTTCACTTTCTTCCCACGTTTTACGTTATTTCCGTTGCTTCAAGTCACGTTTATTTCTCTCTGTCTTAGGCGGCCATCTTGGTATTGTTTGGGTAATTAACCCTCCATATTGTTTGACTGAATGAACGACTGCACGTTTTGGTTTTACATTCGAACATTTCTTTCTCTAACGCTTTCATAATTGTTTTTCGCTTCCGCTTCAAGTTTTCGTTTTATATTTTTCCTTGCATGGTTTCGGTTTTAAGGGATTAAGTGAAAATCTTGCTTTCTATTAAGTGATTAAGTGGCCATCTTGTTTTCCATTCAGGGGATTAAGCGCCATCTTGGTATTGTTTAGGTAATTAACCCGCGAACGTTCGACTGCACATTCTTCCTAGCTCCTTTGTTTGCCCTTTTCCCAAGTCAATAACGTTTCACTTTGTTAATAACTTTTACAATTCATTTATTCCTTCATTACAATGCTGATTTCTTCTCGTCACTGATTTTGTGCTAAATATTCTTCGGTGATATTGGGGTACAATAAAAGCACGGCAAACGGAATATTTCTGTAGACTTGTTGAAAATTGTATAATGCTCTGACAGGATTAAATTCGCGATAAATTCATAAAGTTCATGAAATCGTCAATTAATAATCTTACGAGTTCCCAAACGAATATTGCAATGGCAGTCAACGTTGTTAAAGACCCAATCTGTGTAGGGGCAGAGAGGAAGACATCTAAGATCACGCAGCGTTTGTCTACAAGAAGAAAACACAACATCATTACTTCACATTGACGCTACTGTGCGCGAACATGGCGAAACATAAATTCAAACATCGCAAACTAGTAGCATAATTCTATACAACGTTTGTTTCTAAACGAGCCAACACGTGGTTCGGAAACACAAAACTAATTCAACTTGAATTCTTTCATGACCTACCAAAATTTCTTTTTGTGTTCTTTTTTACTCTCATGTCTCGCCTCTTCAAATTCACATGCTTCGAGCTTGATTTGCACACTGTGGCAGGGTGGCAGGTTTTCCTGGGTGGCTTCACCTGGATAAGGAACGGCCAACAGGGCTAATGCTTCTAATGTATCTGGAGATCTGGACTCTCTGGGCTCTCTGTGAAGTGGTGGTAGAGGTCTTAAGGGTGAGAATGCCATCTAAGTAAGCAACTGAAGTAGAAACACAATTTAGACCTCTGCAAACAACTTTTACTAATGGAGTCAATGTAACAATTCCATTTCAAATCATTGGAGATGTTAAGGCCTAGTATTTTGGCACTAGTAACTAAATCAATAGGCATGCCATTAACAACAACTGGATCGAAAGAAGTAGGGTTCTTAGTGTTAAAGTTTATAAGCAGTTCTTTGCATTTTGTCTCGTTTAGTTGAAACTTATCCGCGGTCGCACGGCTTGCTAGGGTGTCAACAGCAGCTTGAATGTGAGAAACTTGTGATATCTTGATATCTAATGTCTTCGCCTTCTGCTCTGGTGTAGAGGCAGGCTGCTCCGGTCGGTCCACCAAAGAACGCTTCTCGTAGGTTGAGTGGCGCCACAAACTCATTGGTCTTGAGAAACTCTTGCAATGACAGGTCTGTTTTCTTGTCCTCGTTTAATTCACACTCCCATTTCTCAATGATGGTATAACCGGTCCATCACAGGATTTCTGTTTTTCGCTGTGTGGGTTCGTACACCTCTTCTCCAGTGTGGTCCAAATGACAATTTCTTGTCAAATCACGTTTCTTGAAACATCGCTTGCATCCGTGATAGTAGCACCTGTGAAACTCGTAGACCGTGTTGGTCTCTGCATCAAACCCGTCTACAAAATACTCTGCTGCCGGCGTCAACACTTTCACCTCACCACCATTGCGAACATGCTTCACTCGACCAGCCCCACCTAATTTCCAGTCTTCAAAATACAGCCACTCTAACGCCACTTTACTGTGGTTCACTCGATTTCCTCTCCAACCATTTTGAGGCTCAATGGCAATCAAATCTTATTCTAATTTTTCACGTCTCCAGCACAAATTGCAGGCGCTCGCAATTGTCACAGCTTCTATCAGGGGGTTAAATCCCGCAATTTCTTGAAATTCTTCAATAAATTTCGGACAGGTCAACGTTATTCAAGGTCAGCACGTGACTAAAACAACTTCATACGGGTCAAACCAAGTTTAAGAACGTGATCAGGTCAAAGTTGTTGAAGGTCACTGTTCAAAGCTGCCCTATTTTGTTTTGCTGAGTTCAGCGAAAAAATTTGCATGTCCTTTGTGTTTTCTAGGACTCTAGATTAGCATACAAAATAACTCACTGGAACGAATTGACTCACTATTGAGCTCATATTTCCCTTCTGAGAGTTGATTTCACTACTCAGCTTATTCCCTCTTTCCCAAGTCAAGAAATATACGACAATTTCAACTCGCACATTCTTTATTATCCTATTTACAATAGGAATGTATGAAAAAACCCTAGTGGTTTTTCGTCCTTAATAATAAATCCAGTCTCTATAATATCTGCATACAGATTGATACATTTCTGACGCGCCCGAACGAGATGCAAAGTGAAAAGAAAATCCTTTCTATATTTGACCAGCTCATCAATACATAGTGTATGAGCCATAAGACGGTAGCAATGATTGCAAACGTCATTTTCATTACTGTTAATCCACTGGGTTGAGATGCAAATAGCTCGACATCGATTGCTCAGTAAAGACGATCTACAAAAAAAAAAATATGAAAGACATGTTTATTGTCACTTAAAACACAAACAACTAGAAACGTGTGGTCTTGCTAATCAAAAACCGTCCTTGGTTGTAGTGCCCTTACATTACACTGCGGGACGTGTGACCAAGACTAGTTCTGGTCGCCCATTTAATTCTTACATCACGTAATCTTCAAATAGAAATGGCATTATTTGTCTTAGATGTCAGTATGTATACTCAAAACGTTCTACAGCTTCGTCAGATTTTTGAACTAATTCATCTTTTAACAAAAAGGAATCATCAATTGTTAACTGAAACATGCCAGTTAGAAGAACGCAGGTACATCTTGGGTCTGTATAACACCATTCAGTAAACCTGCAGATTGGATGTTGTTTACACCATTTTTGCCTGAATATAAACGAAATATTAATACACGTTCTAACGAATAATTGACTGGTTCTTCATTATCATGAAGACGTTGTCGGTCCACAGTAACACCTTCCACTACTAAATGCATAGAATGTGAACACGGTTGGTTGGAAAAGGGTAGCCATTGTGCTGATCTACAGTACTTGCACTTTTTCAATTCGCGTAAGATAACTCTACAAAATAAAATAAAACAAGTGTCTAAAAACACGTTTTTGCACTGAAAGACTAAGCGATGCCGTCTCACCTTCCTGAAATAGAGCGACCTATATACAATTCTCTATTAAGTTCTTTTTCCCGGTTTTTATCAACAAACTCTCCCTCATCATCACTTATCCATCATCAGGCGGGAATGTTGGCTTTGACTTGGCTGTTGAATAGCACACCTGTGGCAAGGATTCAGGTTTTCTTGTTGAATGAGTTTGTCAACCATAGCGGCATTAGTAAGTTAGAGCACATGTCCAATAAAACTGGCTATCCTGACACTCCTCCCACACTCCTCCTTTTTGAAATGGTTCAAATAAAATTACTGGCATTGCATTACAGGTCTGAAAAAAAAAACAGTTCAGATTGCGCAGTCTTTCCAGACATAAATTGTTGGACACATTTTTCTGCATTTGTGCAAACATTAAACATAACTAAAGTGAGAAAATTCGCTTTGGTACAATATAGGGATACTTTCTCGCAGAGAACGTTACAAAAATCAAAAGAATCGAATAACAGAAAAAAAAATCAAACTTAACCTATTTTACAAACTTAACAAGGATTCTTAACCTATTCTCAACCTATTTACAAACTTAACCTAATACTTACGACCTATTTACTTCATATTCATATTCAGTCATTGAGTTTTGTGAAAAAAGGTTTTTTTTGCCTTCGCAAATAAAGAATGGACGGATGGGGAAAACTCTCAACAAGTATGTCACAGTTCTTCCCAGAAGAAGCCAGTTCCATAAAATAAGGTGGAGTAGAGGTTGTGTGCAGCGGTTATGATCTTGGGCACACAGGAACAGTGTTGTTGGTATAGGTAACGAGCAAAATCCTCTTGGTTGTTTGTGACTAGTTCGTAAATCACGAGAAGGAAGTTCGTAGAAAGATGTCCTGTTACCAGGGTGAGGAAAGAGTCCCAGTGGCATAACAGAGGTGGCTTTGTAGATGGAAGCGACATGCACAGCCAAGGTTCTAGCACCTGGTTAAGTAAAGAAAAGAGAGCATCGCAAATAGGATAGGATCAAACCAGGGACCGAGATCCCGTCTTTAAGCATATCAATCTTCCTTTCTCGCCAGAATTGACTCATTTCTCGACTGCTTCTATAAACGGCACCACATCCAGATTGTTGTACCATACGAGAAAATCTTCAAATGTCTGCATGTTATTTTCTTCCCACACTTGCTGGCAATACTCATATTCTTGTTCTGTTATGTTGGCGTTTTTGAGAGATGAATAGAAGGCAGCATGAAGGGGTAGTGATGTCTCGTTCAGCTTATCCAACCCATCGACCCACGCATGTGGGAAGAAACCTTTGGTCTGCTCGCATTCATAAGCTCTTACAAACTGGTCATAGCTGAATCCTGGCACAACATAGTTGGAAATGCCCAGGAGCTTGAGAAAATCTGTCTTGAGACGCATGATTGCTGTTTGTTTTCAGAGTGAACTTGATTGGTTGAGTCTCAATGAGGTAGGGAAATAAAAATGTTTTCACAGCGTTGAGATCGTACTTGCCAGAATTAAAGCCTGGCATGGGTAGTTCATTAAGATAAACGTTCAGTTTTTCTTCTAGTCCGTTCAACACTTTGTTGTCTCTGGTCTGTTCTTGACCAAACAACACATCTTCATACAGGGCTAGCTCATCTTGCTGTTGTTTTCTCTCTTGTCTCCTCTCACTGTTTAGCTCTACGTTCAGTCTTCTGTAAAAAGATATATCTTCCTGTTCTTCTGTCTCATCATCGAGAAAGGCGCAGTCTTCGTTCTCCGATTCAATCTCTTCATCCTCTTCGTCATCCCTTGCGAGCAAATCAATCCCTCTGCTGTCATCTTCACTCTCTTCTTCGCTTTTTTTTCTGGTCGTCTCTCGTTTCAGGGGCTCTTAAGGTCTTGAGCCCTTCTAATACGTCTGCGTACTGTTCACGAAGCAGAGAGGAACTTTTCAGGCTTATCTTGGTGAGGTACTGGACAAATTCTGAAATAAACTCGTTTGGGCCGCCATTAGACACGAAACATTTGCGTGCTTGGTAACCAGGCACGTTACTACAGACGCTCACAGTCAAAGGTACATGAGATGACTGCCAATTCAACTTGTCTGTGTTTTTCAGTTCTTGTGCTTTTTCTTGATCAAAAGAGCACTCGAAATCGAAGGTCGCATGGTAGGGAAAGTAGCGGGCTTCTTCAGGGACAATAATATCCTCTTCTTCTAGTTGCTCAAACACTGTTTTAGGGACATGGTACGTGCCGCCTAGATACTTGAGCTGGACTTTTCCGTCACAGGTCTTTTTGTGTCTATTCAATCTGGACGATTTCTTCCAGTACTTGCTGCAGCAAGAACAGCAAAAGGATTTACTGCACCGGGCCAGGTCTTTAATATACAAAAAATGTTTTTCGTAAAGGTTCAAGTAGAGAGTACTATCGTAGTCGTGATGAGAGCAGCGGCGAAGTGTAGCGGCGATGTCGGGAGCATTATCTTGATCGTCTTCTTCCCCGTGGTTATGAGTAGGTGCGAGACTGTACACTTGAATATTGACGTCAACTTGTTTAGTTCAGACAACTTGACTCCATGAAACAGCCATTATGTTAAGCCAGACAGCGGAATAAACAGATTATCTTCATAAGGCTTGCCTCTTTGAATGTTACGATCCAATGGAGTGATTCCCATGTTGCCCACGACATAACCTGGTAGATATTTGCCACGGCTGATGGGATGATCGCGAATTTTCCAAACAAACGTCACATTAGTCACGAGATCCACGACCCATTTAGAGTTAGGCCTCTGCTGGCGTATCCACTCTAGGAAATCAATGTTGTTTACTTGTTCATACAAGCGGTCTAAATCAGCTTGATTAGAAATGAGGAAAGGTTGTTCCAACACGAGGTTGTTGTTGGCGGATGGATGGTGATATTGGAGAGCGGCAGTCTCTGTATTACGGAGGATAAAACCAAACGACAAGTTGATTTTGAAAACTGTAGGTTGGTCAGCAAAGATGCGGTTCAGTTGTTCGTGGAGAGCAGTGGTACTGATCGTGGACAGGCGGAAATTATACCAATCTTGTAGTCGGTTTTGGCGGGTGAATCTGGTCTAGATTTGTGGCCAGTGTTGTCTGTACATTTGGGCAATATCTGCTTCGCCACTTGAACCAAAGTTGGTAGGGATGAGAATAGGATCAGGTTGCCAGCTAGCACTGGTGCTTTCAGCACTTGTTATGGGGGTTGGTTGTGAAGCGGTACTCGTACTTGCTTGATCCGACCTCTTAGATCTTTTCGCGAACGGAGCATCTGTAGTTTTTTGAGCAGTGCGTTTTCTAGTTGCAGCGGCGGGTTGATGAGCGGTGCGAATATGAGCATTATAGGGCGCGCGGTTGTGACAAGATTCTCCACACGTATTACAAGTGAAAGTGCGTTGCGCAGCTTGCTTCTCGTGGGCTTTCAGGTGACGGCTCGCCTTCCCCGGATTGAATTTCCTACAATCAGTGAATATGACCTAGTCTTAGTGTAAAGCTAAACTAACAAGAAAGTGTTACTCCGATAAACTATTGGTCTACAATGAGCGTCTCAACAACTGGGTAGATGGTTTGTTTTGATGTTGAACAGAAGAAAAGAATAGATTTCATTATATGGGTGCAATCATCCGCAAAAAACCAATTCACTTATGTGATCAGTGAAAAGCGGAATCGATCAAGAATAAACTATTTATGCCTTCAAATAATAAATAACAAGCCGAATGTAACTTTTATATTCTTCTGACTCTTATAAACGATGGAATTAATGATATTGTCTGTTTTGGTGAGCCTAAACAGCCTGTACAGTACTATTTTTTATTTTAATGTTTTGCGTAAATTTAGATTGGAAGTGTGAACGTTACGTTTCCACAGTAAGTGCACTACTGCTTTTTAACCGTGTAGCTTGAAAGTAGAATTGGCATTTCAACGGTTCTACAGGGGAGAAGATTCTCTCATCTTCAGAGACCCAGCAAACGATACACATTTAGTTCCAACAACTGCGCGGAGTATTTGAGGAAAATGCGTTGGATTTGTACGACTTACATGCAGCTCACACTGGACCTCTGGTCTTTACAGGTTTTTTCTTCTGAGAACCCTACCTCGTAAAATCGTCCTGCCCCAAGCTCATAATTATAATCCCGACTTACGTTCTTTTTTTTTCCTTTTAAAAATTTAAAACTCACATGGCAGACTTAGACTAGACGCATAAGATGCGACAAAATAAACCCTCCACATCGACCCACTGATTGACTGACTAACTGATTGATTTATTTATTGTTTTGTTTGCTTGTTTTTTTGCACAGACAGTGGATAAGTTGAAGATCGAACTTGTGAAGAGCAACATTAGCATCATTGCAATTGAAGGTTTTGAAGAGCTCGGCGATGTCAGTTTTCAGATGGAAAAACTCAAGGTTAACTCATAGTCATCAAATATTCATTATAGTTATTTCAGTTTTGCATTTTCTGGCTCTACCTTGCCACTGCCTCTTAGCTTCTTCTCAAATCTGGCGTCTTTTTCTGTTTTAATTAGAGATTGGATGCTAGAATAATTATCGGAGAGTTCAGCTACGTCGGTGCAAGGAACGTTTTTTGTGAAGTAAGTAATGTGACAAAGCAGAGAATGTGCTTCACATTGATTTCAATTTTCAGTGTTCAATGCTGACCTGACTTATCACTTGACTCATGACTCGTTGACTCTAGCCTGCGTTGCCGAGACGGACTTGTAACTAGAGTTCTCTATCTGGGTCTCGAATCGGGGAAATAGACTGTCTGCAACGCAGGCTAGTTGACCCATGTGACTATTAAAACAAGATTTCTCACATTAATGCCCACGATTTATCATGTTTTGTCTTTCTCAGACCTTTCAACGGTATAAAACGAATAAGTAGAGAGCTATGATGTTTTATCTTTTTTTCTGAAAAAACTAAAACCTTCATTTAGCTGTGTTACATATAACTCTAACTCATGAAATTTTTATAATGCAGGCCTTCAAAAGGAAGATGTATGGACCTAATTATGCTTGGATAATATTTGGTGAATTCAGCCCTACAAAAATTTTCGCTGATGACCCGAAACTTCGAAACAGTGTTTTAAGTGACTGTTCAAGTGACGAGCTAAAGGAGGCAGCAGATGGTTACATTTCCACCATCAAGCTGGACATCCGTAAGGACAATAACCAAACCATATCCGGCTTGGTACGTTGACTAGTACGTTGATAAAGGACATTAACTATTGCGTAAACGTTTCCCTTGCTTTGCGGCACTGTAGCTTTGTTTGTTGAATTGTGCTGGTACGAACACCATCATGTTACATAAATGCATTGTTTCTTTGTTGGCACCACTTTTCGCTCAAAGGACGGTGAAATGTTACCAAGAAGACTACCTTTTCAAGTTCTAGCTTTCTTTGCAGAACTTTCCCAATAAAACACCAGTTCTGGGACGCCATTTTTTTTTCATGTTGTTGCCGTTATCATTATCACATTTATAACGTTACTTTTTCATGTTTCTTAAGACGTCTGAAAGATTCTGGTGGCAGATGAGGCAACTGAACGAGCACAACAATCTGAGAAAGGACTCTGCGTACGCCTTCGATTCAGCATGGGTAGTAGCCATGGCACTAGATTCCGCTTTTGCTAAAGGGATGAAATATGAGAAGCTTTTAAACCGAAAATTCAAGCAAGTTGCAGCGATAAGAAGTGGTATTCAAAACATAAACTTCGCGGGATTAACTGTAAGTATAAACTACGATAACACGACAGATTTTGAATTATGCGTTTTATCAATAACCATTATGCTACACTTTCTTTTAAGACAAAGAAACAGAAAAATTGTTTTGCGTGCAGGCAAAAGTTGCTTTTAAATAATAATATTCCTCAGTTTTTCTCAAAGATTCTAGTACATTTAAGATAGAATTTGGCATTTTTTGTTGCACAGGGGCCTGTAGGCTTTGATGAAAACAGAGAAACAGTTGGAACAGTTCTTATTAAGCAAAATAGAGACGGTAAGCTGCTCTGTAAGGATAATAGTTTCTTGTAGTAAAAGTGCTTGGAAGAAGAATTTCCTGTAAAAATGACAAGATGAGTTATGAATAAATACATTTGCATCTGCATTTGTCTCAAAAAAGGCACCATTTTGTCAAAATAGAAGTTGCAGTTGCAGTTGTCTCAAAAAAGGCTCCATTTTGTCAAAATAGAAGTTGCAGTTGCAGTTGTCTCCCAAAATAACAAACACATTGAAAATACATTAACTTACAGGACGTTACGAGAAGACTTGTAATGTGCATTTAAAAAAAATTCTATAAAATATTTTTGATACATATTTTTTTCTCATTGTAATATTTATAATCGTAGTTTCAGTTGATTGCCAGCTCGTTATGTGAATAACAGGTAAGGTTTTTGTTGTCCTTTTTTAGGAAACGAAACTAGAATTGGTCAACATTTCACCTCCTCCGACGAACTCCATCTATTTGAATCTGAGCGAAATAAGATATGGGAAGGTAATAAATGTTTCCGTTGCACTTCAATGTCTTATCAAAATATCGAAATTGCAGTCACTGATGATGACGACGATAATGATGATGTAATGACAATAATGATAATGATGATGATGATAACATTGACGTTGGTGATTTAATAGATCTATTTGTACCCAATTAAAATCTCCCGGGGATAAGATTCTTTGTGTATTGCATTTGCATTGTAATGTGGCATTCACATTTAAATGATATGGAAATTCCTGAAACAAAACGTTTTATTCCCAAAGGGTTTGAATTGGGTACAACATTGAGTTAGCCGAATAGGTATATGAATAATCGATTAACATGTCGGTAGATTCTGTTGAAAATAACCGAAGCTGATATAGTGTACACTCCCTCGAGTGCCTTTTTATTATTGAAGCGCCTTCCACTTGCCACGTCGTCTGGTGTCCTGTTTAGTTCCTTGAACAATCTGCAACTCTAATTACATTCTATAATTTATTCATCTGATGTTCAGTATTCTTTGCTGTCTCTCCAGTTAAATGTACACATGAGTTTAGGACACAGTCCGTTCAGAGTCAACGATAATATGCATGAGCATATGGGCTCCCCCAAATTTAGGACTACTCAGATTTTTTGGGCAGCAAGGGAAATTTGGGCAAAGTCAGTTTTTAAAGATTCAAAAACCTACCATGACAGCAGAGCTTTAATGACCGCCATTTGTGACTTGGAGTTTATCTTCGGACTGTGTGTGCTGAAAGTAATCCTGAGCAACAATAGTAGTCTGTGCAAGGTTGGGATTGTGAGAATTCTGTCAGATGTGCCATTTTCTAGGGAGGGAGAGATTTACTAGATCTTACTAGACGTCGCTTAAACTCTCTCCAACTAAGTTTATAACATTGTTACTGGCCAAAGACGTTTCTGTTGCGTGCCCATATATAGTACTACTCGAATTTTGTTAGAAACGGCCTTTATCTATGGATAATCAGTTGCTGACCTGCAGCTTGAGCTGGGGCTATGAACGCCTGCTACGGTGAGATTTCTCTAATTTCAAGCATTGTTCTAAGCAATTACTTAATGCCAAAGTAAGCAGAGTAAAGGTCTCCATTGTTCCATGTTACAAGAAACGCGGTCGGGTGGTTTTGGTTTTGGACTCTTTTTGATTTCATCTTTTGCATTCCTCCTTCAGACAATCGACCACCGAAGGATCACACCAGCAGAAAAATTGAGCTGATGATGAGTCCCTTACCACTTATCGTCATAATGTGGCTCATGGCAGCGATCGGCATCATCTGCTCGTTGAGCTTTCTATATTTTAACATCAGTAAAGGTAAAAACAGGTAGGACTTTAACCTTGCTATTTCTGACCTTTTCCAATACAAAACATATTCTCAAGCAAAAGCCTTTTTGAATTATTTCCGATCCCTAATCTCAACTTGCATTAAATATTGGAGCTCTTTGCCTACTTACATCTTTTATTTTCATTTTGTCAGGATAATCAAGATGTCGTCGCCTAAACTTAATAATATTATTATTATGGGATGCATCCTGTGCTACGCCTCCATTGTTTTGTTAGGTTTGGATGCGAGGTTTCTCGATTTGCAAGGTTATGGCATCAACTGCAACGTAAGGAAATTAATTATTAACGAGCATGCTGTATAATGACAGATTAGAAACAATAGACAACTCCCAAAGCACAAACTCAGCCAAAACGCTAAAAATCTTCAATGTTTACTCAAATTTGAGCTTATAGAAAATAATGTCACAGTTTTTCAATGACCATGAAATTCAGAGTGCGGGTAGTTAGTTAATCAATTGTGGCCCTGAAAAAATTTGAAGGAAAAAAAACTACGAATTTTTAAGAAAATACTTTTTTCGTGAGATTGACTCTTAAACGCAGACAAAAGTCAACAAATAGCGAAAACTATAATTTCTATATGTTTACTTTGCTCGAAATCGCGCGCATTTACAAGGCCCTAAAGCGTTTTGCTGACTTGCAAGGACCCATCTGTTATAAGGATGCCCAAAATACAAAGATGAATCTCATAGTTTATTAGATATAATCCGTGTAAAGTTTGCTTATCATTTTCGCATAAATTATGACCCAAATTTGGAAACCGCTGAATTTCTCGAATTGGGTCTTTGCGATTTTGGTGAAACTCTGTTCAGCGCAAGGCACTAATGCGCACTATGTGTAGCCGAGAGATTTTCACGAAAAAATGCCGGCAACAGCAGATTTTGGACTCAGACCTCAAAGGGGCGTGGCATTATAACCACGTGACATTTACTCCGATCGCCAAAAATTTTATGTTATATTGTAGATTGATCTATATGTTATCCATTCTATGTGTTATACTTACGATAAAAGTAAAGGTGGGGATACCAGAGAGCTTCAAAGTAGGATGGTACCCCCTAAAAAAAACTGGGTCGAGTCACCTTAAAGTAATCGCCAATGCATAAAATGTAGTTAAAGCTTTAGAGTATGTATACTAACTTCTATGATGTTCTTAATCGAATGAATCTTTAACGGGAATAATTTCGTAAAGCACTCTTTTCTGTTATATTATAACAGGCTATAAAGGATCTTCATCTCCTTGCTATCGTAGCAGTATTGTTAACAGTAGATGTTATTTTCTTGTCCTGTTGGATTATTATCGACCCATTCCAAGCTGAGGAATTAAAATTCGAAGAACTGGTAGGAGCTTTTGAGTCGTTTTAACTTTTCGCGTGAACTATTGATCACGATATAACCTTGGTGTTTAACAGCTTCAACTCCTTGAAAAAACTCGAAGGTCATGTCATCATTATTCGCTCTTGCCGGGGTACAATAGGCTCGTAAAGCTCCAGCTTTGGACGCTCCTATTGGATTGTCTCTTTCTTCTTTCATAATTTCTTAGAATGGATAACCTTCCTACTGAGCTACGGCAGGCAAACTCTCTTGGGGCTTTCAGGGCTGGCTAAAACAGTTTTTTACTATAGTTGTTTCTTGTTTTTTTTTGTTAATTCCTGATGGACTGACAGTGCTTAAGTAAACGTTTTCATCTATTTATGTCATTCATTCATTCATTCATTCATTCATTCCTTCGTTCATTCATTCATTCATTCATCTACTCATTCATCTAGGCGTACCTTTGGAATTTCCAATGGTGAAGAAATTACTTTCTCTTTCCCTCTTTGATGCACGTGAGGCATCTGCCAGTGGAATTCCAAGCACAGATCTCTGTGTTTCGGTTCTCAATCCAATCTACTATTATTCTTTAACACTGTTAAATTAATCTATTTCTTTTTTTCCTTCAAACTGAATTACCACTTATTAGGCACCACAAAAGTATTAAACTGGTGGAGTAAACTTCCTTGCAGCGGCGGCAAATATATCGGGGAGCTGGTCTGACTTTAGGCAAAGGTGCTTACAATCTTAGATCTGATAGTGGAGTATAGGTGACCACGCCCTCCTTTAAGACTAACTCCAGGAAACAGATCTAATCAAGTCCAGCTCCAAAGCACGCCATTGCAGATGTTAATTCTTTGGTTAATTTACAATAACTTAGTTGGCTCTAACTCTTTCCTTACCAAACTTGGCCTGAAAGTACAAAATATCCAGCCAATCAAATGGTGGTTTCTTGGTGTTGCGGACACCAATGACGTAATACAAAAGATTGAAGAGACACTGAACAATACCCACACCACAACACAAAAGCTAACAAACAATAGTTTCCGCAGCACCAAGAAACACCCAATCAAATGGACATGTATTTTGCCATCAAAATGTCAAAATATGACGTCACAATTGCGCACGTTATTCATACTTAAATTGTAAACTTTAGAATCTTACCATTTTTTTATATCAATTTTAAAAGAGCTATATCAAGAAGAGATGAAACCTGCAAAAAAAATTGCAATATCTTATATATGAGCCGAGATATGACATTTCAATTTGGATAAATTTGTACTACAAAGTAAAATAAGTCTTAATTTAAGCGTTTCATTGTCGTGTCACCATTACCATTTAATATAAACATAAGACATCTTTATCTTCGAAAGCTAAAGGAAAAAGAAAATTTTGAAAAACGAAATTCCTAACTGCACAAAAACCAAGAAAGCAGTTTTGCGACGTCATTAAAATGTCAAAATCAAAGGGTTCTTTTTTTAAGGAAAAATATGGTTCCGGGTGCACTGAAATATCTTTATTAAAATCCCATAACTCGATTTCTACGTGTCGTAGCGAGAAACAGTTTTCAGCGTAGATATAAGGGCGCTTTCCACTTGTCAGAACTTACCGGCCAGACCATTCCCGTCGCACTAATAATCTCACTTTTAATCAAAACTCTCCTGCTAGATCAGTCAAATCCTAAATAGTATGCACGAAGGAGAACATTTTTCAGCAAAAACTCTTGGAAAAAGCCTATTTCATTTTTAAACTGACTTGTCCGGCCATGGTCCATCCGGCCAGTTTTGACAAATGCAAAGCGCCCTAAGTTTGACTGTGAAATTAAAAAATTCATTTAGCCAATTTTGGTGACGTCAGTCCTTATGACGTCATAATTTGACATTTTGTGTCAAACAAAACAAAAATTACCTGTTCAACAATCGAAGTCTATCTGGCACGACTGGTCAAGAAATGTAAAAGTTACGTAAATTTAGCCTAAATGACCGATTTGAGGGGTGGTTTGGCCCTAGCGTAATTAATGTTACGATATCAAGTTATATTGTAGTTTTTTTCATCAAATTCGATAGCTTTTTACTTATATTAATTGAAATTATTTCGTGACTAGCCAGCGGTCACCAATGATGTTACATAATATTGCCCAAATATAAAATGGCAAATCGTTTCCAGGCGGGAGTGAACTCAACAAAGTGACCAAAGTGTTCATTGCTATCCGTAGACAAAAAAAGTCGAAATTCTGACTAAATCTGAAGTGAAGAAATGCAAGAGTACACAAAAACATATTGGTCGATGAATGTCATCTACTTTTTTGAGTAGTATCTGCGACAAAAAACATCTGTTTATGTACTAAAGCCGTACGACGAACAGGCAAATGTTTTGAAGAAAGTATAGACGGAGATAGGGTTGGTAAGAACTTAGAAATATTTTGAATGAATAACACAAGAATTACCGTGAAATTCCCAAAATAAGCCCGGGGCTTATATTTTTCAAAGACCCTTTTTGAGGGGCTTATTTTTGGAGGGGCTTATATTCGGAGGGGCTTATCTACGGAGGGAAATTTGCGTTTCAAAATCGATTGGGCTAGCCTTATAGTTGGCAGTAAATTTACTTTGTTGTTGAGGGCAATTCTGCAAGTACAAGCCCCCGGAGAGGGGGGGTTATATTTGGAGGGGCGATTTAACGGAGGTTTTTTGCGTTACCGGTTTGGTGGGGCTTATACTTGGAGGGGCTTATACATGGAGGGGCTTATTTTCGGAATTTTACGGTATTGAACTTGGCTTTCGTCTGATATGAGAAATTATGCAGATCTCGGCCTCGGTGGATAATTGATAACACCCTCCTCGATCTACATAATTCCTCGTATACAGTCAACTCCCTCTAAGACGGCTTCTTTGGGACCAGCACTAAGTGTCTAAGTGTCTTATAGAGAGTCAAATAAAGGGAGTAAAGAAAGGCAGGGACCAACTCTAGGCGTCCGTTGTAGGGAGGCGTCCGTCTTATAGAGGTGTCCGTTAAGAGAGAGTCGACTGTAATACTAAACCTAATTCAACAATTGTTTATTGTGAGATATTCAATTGAATTATATTATCTGCATACCGATGTTTGTAAACTGCATGATATCTAATTCTATTACTGCGCTACTTTCGTTTATATCTACAGTACGTTGCAATGCATGCATAATCGTTCAATTGAAGCAATTAGTTATTGATTAAAAAGTTATTAGAGGCGCAAATTAGTTATAACTCATGTTTATCCCCCACCCAATGCAATCTTCAAAAGCAGACGGTCTGTCATTTCACTAGCTACAAGATATCTCAAGCAAAACTGTGTGTGTAACAAACTGATTTTACTTTTTAGTGAACGAAGTAATGTTCAAGTGCCGAGGCTTCGGCGCAGATGACATACCGTATGAAATACGCATGGACGACATCCATTTAGACGAAACAATGATGGTAGAATTTAGCCCCCGTTCCTGTGAGACTGTTCAAAAATAGCTACCACACTGGAGATCCAAGCGGCTTTAAATGAGATAGTATAAAACGTCTACTATTCGTAGTTCAACTTCTACACATTTCTCACAGCTTGTATTCCGTTATACTGAAACATAAGGAAATAAATAGCCCATATCTCAACATGTGTTGGTCCCGGCATACGCCCTAGTTCTTTCATTAAGGTCAACTTTGCAGTTTGATATGCCCAAGAAATTGCAGAGTACAATTCCGCCTAGGGCATTTCGGAGCTTGAAAACCCTCGCTTTAAAAGTACAAACCTCTCATATGAAAATTAGTTACATTTGCACAACTAAAATTATTTTCATATGCAGAGACCACGCACTTACTCCCGTTTTCAAAAAAAGGCTTAGCGCAGCCTGGCAGCTGTTCAGGCTTGCCCAGTCCTTTTTACAAACTCAAGAATACCTCAGCAATATTGATTGTGTAATGACCAATAACAACAGATGATTTCAGTGCTGTGGACATGTATACAGCCGGATTTTGGCATGACATGATTCGATGGTCATTCGTTCTGCTCAAACAACAATATTCATAGTTTGACAAAAACTGTTAATGAAGAACTAAAGAATGTTTCTGATTGGTTAAAGGCTACCAAATTGTTCCTTAATGTAAAAAAGACTCATAGACGAAAATATTAACTGGAAAAATCATATGTCATGTTTGCAGCAAAATTACAAAACCTTCTGGTATACTTTGTCAAGCAAGGCATTATTTACCCTGCGTTGTTACGGGCGGACTGTATTATGCACTTATCTACCCATACCTAAGTTATGGTAACATTGTATGCGGAAATACTTACACAACGAGACTAGAACCAACAAGAAGGCTACAAAAGAAAATTATAATGATCATTACTTTTTCAAACTTTAAAGAACACACTTGTCCTCTCTTCAAAGAACTATTGATTTCACCTTTAGATGATATAAACAATGAAGCCATTGCTTTGTTCAAGTTTCGTTACTTCAACAACAATCTACCATCATCTTTCAATGACTTCTTTTGTCTGAACAAAGATGTTCATCAATACGACACAAGATCATCCTCTAACGTTCACAAAATCCAAGCACGAACTAACTACCAAAAACACTCAGTAAAATACAAAGGAGTTTCAATATAGAATAACCTGCCAAAATCTATAAAAGAAATTAAGACATTCAGTTTATCAGGCAAAAAAATTAAAACGCATTTTCTCCCCAAGCAAGAAAATCAGAATTTCACTATACTAACGTATTTACATAAATATTATTCTAAGTAAGTTCGCCAATTACTATACTCCTCGTAACACCGCTTTGTCCTTTTCATAATCTTTAAAATAAATCACTGTAGTAAACTTGTTCAGCGGTTTTCCTCCTAAAGCCCAAAAGGGTTTCATGAGAGGTCCTGCCCAGGTATTATATTATCTTATATTATTCAGTAATAAGTATGTGAAAGGCCAAATAAAAAGAGTGATTGATTGATGATTCTACCGTGGGGTTTCCAAATAATACATTTTACCTTGAATATCCTACCGGAGTCAAAGCACTAAATCTGAATTTTACTTTGATAATAGAATGTTTCTCTTGTAATTCAGAAAAAGAGGACCGTGATCGACAATTTGTTCTCGTTTTCAGACAACAGTCTCTAACACAAGTCACGCAATCTAACGAGACACATCTTATCGCTCGTGTCGTCTCGACCTCTTAGTTTTTTGGCTCTTTTCTTAACCTTTTGCGTTAGGCTTCTACCTTGATATTTAAAGAAGTGTTATATTTTACCCTTTTTCAATAAAAACAAATGTCACTTGCTTTTATGTAAGGTTTTCCTTATCTGTTTTGCAAAATTTGAGCTCACTGGGGTCATAGGTCGAGGACCGAACATTGTGACACGTACTGTCTTTTGACATTGGTTTTCTTTTATCCGAGACTTTACACTGGTCAGGCACTCCCCTTTCATTTATCATATATCTGAAAACAATGGAGAGAGTGCAGAGGACAAATGAGCTTTAATATCAACGAGTGAAGATGTCGTACCACGAACGTTTATCTTGTAGGCACTTATGTTTGGTTCGCCCTACGAACAACTTCATCTCTACAGGGGAAATACTGAGAATCATGTACCATAAAATAGTCAAAAATTGTTTTAAGGTACACTTTATATACCAGAGAGAGAACAAAGTACTTTCATGGATCTATTTCTTCATTTTTTTCTTTTTCATTTCACTGCAAGTAAGCTGCCTTTTTTATTGGGGGGTGTAAATTTTAGCGGAGCTCCACGCGAAGCGCGCCAGCGGAGCACCATGGGTAAATAAATCTACCCATCCCAGAAAATTTGGTAATCACGTGACCGACCGATCGAGCGACCGACCGTCGGTCCGCACCACGGGCATACCAATGTTTACTCTCACACTTTCTAGCTACTTTGGGAGCCCAAGAGAGAGCTGATTGCACATCAATGTTGTGGTCGATTGACAGCTGTCAAGACAGGGTATCCGCTGACCTGTATCACCTGACCGTATCGTGGGCTCAGGTGTCGACCCATCAACGACGAGTATTTTTTGAAGTTATCCGCTGACAATTTACTCGTTTTCAAATGATCGCAGGCGTAGTTTTTTAAATTCATATCAAATATGTTGTGTTTATGTCACTATCGCCCAGCACTATTACGGTTTTGATTTCAAACTGACTTCAGACGCAAAAATTCAACCAGTTTTTTTGAAATACAGGCGGGGAAGACCTTTTCTTACCACGGTCACGTGTTGGTCACGCTCCACGTCCAATTTTATGCTCTGATTGGTTAAAATTTGACAGGTGAGTTCATGCGTAAAATTTATGCAGCATATCTTGAAAGTTGTTTACTTTGACAGGTGAAGCTGACAGAGTTTTGAGTCAACTTGTGATGTTTTTGACTGTCTTTTTCCACTGAATGTACAAAAGGAAATACAGCTGCTATCAAGAGTCTTCTCTTACTCATGGCTGGTTTGTTTATTGGGTTTTTGGTTGAGAAATGCATCGCTTGTCAAAGCCTATTATCCGATTTCGGATGGCATCGTTTTTGTTTTTCACCTTGCTGGATGCGTACGAGAGTTATAAAGGCTCAAGCAATCTTTGCCTTACTTGATAGCTTTCAGGAGCTGCATCTCGAAATATGATAAGCCTCAGTAATTATTGTATTTATATCTAATTTCATGAAGTCGGGCGCACTTTATGAAGCTAGTTTATGCACGTTTGTATTAAGATTTGACTGCGACACTGATCTGACCTAGTATGAGGTTTGATATGAGTTTACAGAACTTTAAAAAGCCTTTGGTCGATATGATTTCACCATAAATAGAAAGAAAAAACCTTTCCGAGGAATATATAGTGTTAATTGGCTGTAGAAAGAGAGCTTTGAGCGATTTTCTTGTCGAGAGTTCATCTTTGAAAACAGCAAACACCGGGAAACCGGCGGCTTAAAGCATTATAAACTTAATCTTTAAGCTTATAAAAGACTTGAGGATTCTTAGAGACACCTAAATTCTCATTTGTTTTCGTGAATGAAAATTGTTGTTTCTGTAAATTTTCTACCGAATTATATTTCTTTATTGATTGTTGGTAGTCTCAAAAGTGCAATTTTATCGCTTTTGCGTTTTTTAAACATCGCTTGCAGGAGTACTCAAAATGCCGAGCGTGTCAAACGCTTTTGAAGATTACACATCGTTATAAAACCATTATTAAAAGTAGAACTCATAAATTCTCTATCACATTGAAGCGTAACTCTTTTAAAATTTCTGCGCAAATTTGGCGCTTGTCAAAAGTTAGAACCGGCTGGCCGTATAGGTGATTTTGGAAATTTTTTTAACTGTTTCACTAAAGGTCCACGCGTGCTTCAATGGTCCTGAATACTGAATGAATGCAATTTGTCTTGAAAAATTGTGAAATACTGCATTTTGTAGAGGTCTGTATGATAAAAACAGCGCCTCACAGTACTCTTTCTCCTCAGATGTGGTATATAAGAAAAAAACAAAAGGTTGGTTTGCACGCACCCAGATTTATTGGCAAGAATTTGTAAAGTAAACTTGTCGAATGCAAAAAATTCGGCCTGCTTTGTTTTCCACGCCTTATCTACTGTGATCAAGAGCCATTATTGCTCTTAAATGTGAACGAAGACTATTTTTTGGGTGTACATATAAGGCTATATCAACTCGATGCTAGATTTGTTTCACTGCAAAATCACTTAGCTTTTCCCACAAAAGTCACATGAATGTGCCCTTGAGTTAACTAATTTGTGGAATACAAGTTTACTGTTTGATTTAAGTTATAAATTTATCAATGGGAGCTTCGCTTTTAGCCGTGGCTAAATCTATATATTAAGCAGAACATTGTGGACAAAGTGCCTGAAGGACTGCATATACCCGGTAATTTAATCTCTGTGACAAAAACCAGTCTTCTGTTTTGTTTTCGAGTGGGCTTGTTTTATTTGCAGAAAAACTCCTATTTTTACGTGTCGTTCAACGTCGAGAAAAAGTTGACTGAAAATAAACTGACCAAAAAAGTTAAGGGAGTGGTCCGGCATTAATTACTGGGGGCGGAGGACTGATAAATTTACGGCGAGGGCTTAGATTTGGGGGGCTTTGTAGGACCCTGAAGAGGAAAGACCGTTACCATAGAAATATTGGCAATTAGATTTCAGCCTTGCTTCTTTTCGTTATTCACAGATTTTCAAGCTGATAAAATCCTTTAGTATATACTAAAACAGTGGATAGTGTTTTTCGCGCGCTCTGATTGGCTACTCAACCAGTGAATATCCTGCACTATTCACTAATTCACCTCCAGTTCCTCGGAGCGAGCGACGCCAAACTCGCGTAACTTGCGAGCAAAATGCCTTCCCGGTTTGCTGCCGTAACAAACAAAGAGATTTCACAATTAATCAAGCAAGCTGTACCCGAAATACACGAAGAAGGTGACGAAGTTCGGTTTGAAAGTTTTAACAGATAAAGCTTTGTCTTTTTGTCGGCAAGAAAAAGGGATGACTGCGGACGTTCGGTCATTGCGCACCAGCATTGTAATCGTTGACAACAGTAAATGAGTTAAAAATCATCATTTTTGTGCTCAATTATCTCACTGTTTTACTATATAGTAAAACAATTATCCACCCCAGTGTCGGTGGCTAGTGGTTGCTATTTACCTCGCCGCTTCGCGGCCTCAGTACAAAATAACCACTAGCCACCTCCACTTCGGTGAATAATTGTTATCTATTATGATCCCGATTTTTCGAACAATCTGGATAACAGAAAATTGCTTCAAAACATTTTCGGAAGGATCAAAAATTCAGCAATAAACTGATTGCATAAAAGGATAAAGGATGAGATGAAGTACCTTATGCTTATTTTGAAATCTATGCTGGAATTATAAAGTATTTGATTAAGCAGCAGGAAGTGACGTTCAGGAATAAAACAAAACGAACGAGTGAAGCCCGTTCGCTGTCTTATTAACGTATTTTTCTTTCTCTGCCAGGTGATAAGCTTAAAGGGAAAAACGGAACGTTGTGTCCATCAGTTCTCAACAGTACAGACAGAATTACATTATTTGCAAAAAAATTTCGAACGATTTTAATTTCGGGCAAAAAAAGTGTCCGAAAATGAAACCGTGAGAAATTTTTACGCTTCCGAAATTTTAAGCGTCCGAAATGTTTAGAGTACAGTGTAAAACTTTTAAATACTTTCTTGGGTTACGCCGTCACATGTATTCAAGGCCAATTTACATGATATAAAACTGCGAAACTGTGATATACATAGCTAGAACTCGGATTAGGCTTTAGTCGTTCTTTATATCACTGGAAAGGAAAATTTTAGTTGCCTTTACAAAAAAAACAATGTACAAATAAATTTCTTTTTGCATGCATAGAAAGTTACATATTTTGAGCCAAGCCCAGTGGCATTGCCAGTGCTAGTCCTCTTCGGCTTCATCATCAATCATGAACATGAACATGAATGGACAGATCACTAGCAAGTGATTCTTCTCCATCTGTAGCTGATTCGTAAAGAAGCTCGTAGTTCTTTTCAATAAGTTCTTTCAGACGGTGAAGAAGAGACCGCTTGCTGTCGTCAATTTTAAACGTGGGTCGGAGGACTATCTCAAGTCGTCCCTTTGCGATTAGAGAAGGCCTATTCTTTTCATCCTCAACTACTGCATCGATGCTACGCACGTGATGTAGAAAAAAGTACAGAAAACGTGATATTTCTTGTGGCACATGGCCAACAACATCGGCTACAAGTTTTTCTTTGCTCTTCATCATCCAGGCGACAGCGTACTGATCAACAAGAAGTGCCTCTGCATCTCGTTCTTTCTGGCCATACAATCTTTGACATTTCTTTGGAATTGTCCAGACAGTTTTACCATAAACATGCCAACCTCGACTAGCAATTGGGTGCTTGAAGAAAATTTTCCATCTGTGTTTAAAGTTGATAATTCTAAGTTCTCGAAATTGGCAAGTTTTACCATCGCTTACGCCTAGCTGTTATTGTTATTTCCCGCTTTATTGCGGCACGCTCTGCAGACTTTCCCGCTCTTTTTTACGTCTTTGCGCCATTCACGACTTTGTCGGTAGCTTTGAGCGAAACATTCCTTCATTTCGCTTTGTTCGAGAGTTTTCCTTCATCAGTTTCATTTGCAGCGGTGTCTATTTAAAATTATTTGAGAAGGTACCGAAAAACCCTCTACAAGCAATGTCTTCGGCACCGAAAGAAGAAGCTGGAAGAGACACCTACATGTCGGAAGACATGTAGGTGTTGTAAGCCTCACTAAAAGAGAAACCGAAGAGGTAACAAATGAAGTCACTACTACATCAAGTGGACAGCCGAAGAAAGAGCAGAAATAGGTCAGCATGCTGTAACGCACGGAGTCAATCAGACAGTGCGTCTGTTGAAAGGAAAATATCCTCGACTTACTAAGCAAACGGCCAGTGATTTCAAGAAAGCTTTGATTCAAGCAAAACAAACAGCAGTTGGGCCTGTGAATGAAATTACCTTCAGAAAGCGTGGGCGACCTGCATTACTGCCCGACGACCTTATGAAAAAGACCATTGAAATGATACAGGCCCTGCGACTAAACGGTGCACCGGTAACAGCTGTCGTGATAAATGCTATTGACAAAGGAATAGTTATAGCAAATGACCGAACCCTGTTGGTCGAGCATGGCGGCTATTTGAGCCTTAGTTTTGCCTGGGGAAGAAATGTCCTCTGCCGAATGGAAAGAGAAGGCAAGAAGATGGCAGTCAGAATTGCTACGACTGAGAACATACCCGTGGCTCCTGGACTTTTGAAGGAAGCGAAACTGTCATTTCAGCGAAAGATCAAAACACTACAAGCCATGCACGGTGTGTCATGAGCAAGAGATCGAGGACACACTTCCAGTTCGTACAAGAGAGAAGTTTATTGTCAAAGAACTCAACACGTGTTGGTACAAATCACATGAACATGTTGCCAAGTTCAACCAATCATAACACCGTGTGCCAGAAGATCTGAATCTCAATTTAGACCAAACCCCATTGTCCTATGTCTGTTCCGCTAGTCATACTCTGCATGAAAAAGGGGCAAAAAAATGTGCCCCTTGTGGGAAAAGGGCAAAAAGAAGCAGATTACAGGAATGTTCACGGTTACAATGTCAGGTCTTTTTCTCGCGATGCAGCTAATTCATGAGGGTAAGACCCCGCAATGCCTTCCACAAGGAATCTCGTTTCCGGATAACTTTAACTTGACTTTCACTCCAAACCATTGGAGCATTGAAGACAAAGTTATCGAGCACTTGGAGAAGGTTTTTTTTTCCGTTTATAGTGGAGAAACGCAAAGAACGTTCCCTTCCTGATGAGCAGAAGGCTATCCTAGTATTTGACGTGATCAAAGGACAGAAGACGGAGCGTGTTCAGCACCTTATTGCTGATAACAACTGCTTTTGCGTTTTCGTTCCTGCCAATATGACCAACTATTTCCAGCCGCTCGACTTGACAGTAAATGGTCCTGCCAAGCAATTTTTGAAAGGAAAGTTTCAGGAGTGGTATGCAAGAGAAATCGCAAAGCAAGTCAACAAAGGTATTGATGTATACTCCATTCATGTCAACACAAAGTTATCTGTAATGAAGCCGATTCATGCCCACTGGCTTGTTGGCTTGTGCGACCACCTCCAAAACAAACCCGAAGTGATAAGGAAGAAATTTGAGATGGCAGGAATAGTGGAAGTTGTCACTAAGGAACTAGAACCAGACGATCCTTTTGAAGATCTTGTCCCAGATCATTGAGCCACTTTAAGCTCCAAAGCCCCTAGTTTCCTTTTTGAAGCGAACTCTAGTTGAAACACTGCTTGAGATTAAGACTTGATAGAATTAAGAAATAGTAAACGTGCAGCGAGCAACCATGGAGTTATGGATGCACGCGGGAGGTTGCTAAGCACAAAAGAAGCGTAAGAGTCGCACAAGGCGATAGCCGAGCGCGACTCTAGCTTCTTGAGTGCTTAGCAAACCTCCTAAGTGCATCCATAACTCCATGGTTGCACAGCTGCAACGTTTACCATTTCTTTTATAACATAATCAAAAGAGAAAAACACTATTTTCGATTTGCCTTCGGTTGAGTCATCGGTCCGAGTTCATGTAAGTTGCAACTGAAATTCCCCGACACACAGCCGGCGATGAAGCTGTTGTTTTTCGACCGTTCTCTGAACGACTGTTATGAATGAACACTGAAGAACAAAATAATACACACAGAAGTTATTTTTTTGAAAAATTTATTTGAAAACCCAAATGTTTCTGTACTCAAATGAAATTCGCTTATTCCAGCGTAATGTGCCCGTTTAAACTCAACTAAAATTTTTAACCGATGCGATGAAAACTTCACAACAAAGCTGTCTCGAATTTGAGCGTGTTTCCTAAAATAATTGCTTGAATTTAGCATCAGCTTGACCAAAAGTCAATAACACAATGCTAATTGATAAATTTACATTTCAAACAGACTTTCTCTTCTATAAAAAAAAAAAACACGCAAAACGTACCTTTAATCTTCGCTCGCTCGATTTTCCTTCAGCCGATTCTAGCCGCGAGGACAACAGTGATTAATTCATCCAGGGAAAATTTTTCGCTTGGTGTTTTGTCTTTTTTCCTTCAAAACGACAGCTTAGTATTTTCTTCAACTTCCACTTTTCATCTATGCATTTCATCGGTGTATTTTACCGTCAGGAGAGGATATTTGTTGAATTTACCTAAATTTTACCGCGCTAGCTCAGTTTCTTAGCGTGCACCCACGGGCAAATGGTAGTGGCTAACTGACCAATCAAAGTAAACGTCCGAAATAAAACGTCCGAAATTTTAACGTTCGAAAATTTTGGCAAGTGATGCATGTAAAATCTATTTTAGGTTTGGTTGCAGGTGTTTTAATCTAAATACTGTCCAAGCGATATGTGGCTCACTTATCAGTAAAGTTCGCGAAGCAATTCTAACAACACCCTTTTGTCAAGGTTAGTAACCTGGTATTCATAATTTCATTAAGTTAAGATGCCTACCCCGCGTAAATAAAGCGCATAGATAAAATATCTAAGACTGTCTGTAACGTTAAGAGAAGAAAAATAGAGTTTACGTCGTCCTTATTCGCAATTTGCCTGTCTCTGTGAATCTTGTTTGCCCCACAAATTTAGCAACTAAGCAAGGTCTTCAATTTCGTGTGGGACCACTAATAATACTTAGGAGAAATGAACAACAAAGCTTATGCAAAATTTGGGGGGCAAACAAGGTATAAATGTGCCGATGGTGAAGTACTTATGCCAAGAAACAACTCTCAGTAAAATATTTTATATTTGGTTTTATACAATCAGTTATTTTACAACAGCAACATTTTAAATGATGGCCGTATTAAAAATAAACCCCGTGGCTATTTCAGACTTTCGTCTGGACCAAAAGTTAGAACACCTAAATCCCGCGACCAATTTGCTTGCTCAGTTTGCACAACAAACAAAGGGAAGTTGTGTCAAATGGCTGAAGTTTCCTAGACATATTTCTATTTAAAAAAAAAATTTTATTGGAAGATTTGACCGGGATAAAAGGCACCGAGGTTGTGCTTTCAACTGCAAACTTTGGATATTTATTACAGAGGAAATCTGCTCAACAGCTACTATAAACACGTACGGAAAATTTCAAACAATTTTTAAAATTCTTGAAGAAACTGCATGTTTTCACAACAGTTCTATTCTTATTTTTGGCTGAGCAATATAAATAGGAGGGCTCCAAATGAACGCGAAAAATTGATAAACCTATCCTTTTGAGAATCTTAACCATGTGGAGCCTAAAGACGGTTAAGATGCGCAAATAGGATCTCATGTTGTTCCCACGTTTGACAGGAAATCGCATTCTTTTTGAAAGACTAAAATACTGATCATAGTTGGTTGATTTCTTTGTTTTCATTTTCCCCGTTTCGTTTCTTCTTAAAGGTGAACCCTGCCTTAAGCTTTGTCCTATTTTATTCTGTAGCAGCATGGAGAACTTTTTTAATTAGAAGGCGAACATCACCTTTTCACCTTAAATGTCAAATTACCGGATGTTTATGATGTCGACAGTACCAGATGTCCCAGTATGGACATTTGTTTACACTGCCACGAGTAGCACAGAAACCTATCTGATATGTGATGATATACTTTCAAATCGGCACGGCGAAGCTTTTCTCTGTTACAGAAACCGCTCTGAAATCACCCCTCTTATGTGTTAACAATACCATGCGATATGGTTTTCGCTCGAGCGCAAGACCTATGCGCGGTAAAGTGTGGACTTAGCATAAATTAGCAACTTAAAAATTGAGTGCCCAGAGACGTTTAAGACTGGCAGGAAATCGCATTTTTATCAGTCAGAACACCTGTTTTGGCTGGTTGTTTTGTTTGCCTGTTATTTTTCCTTCGGTTTCTCCGTGAAGGTGAGAATCAAAATGGCTAGTATACAAATATAGCCAACCCTAAAAGCGGTGCTTCAGTTGATACGGACGTTACTGAGCTATGAATTACGTAAAAGCAACGAAAAGTTAAGACTCAAACAAAAACATGTTTCGATAGTTGCATAAAATGAGAAACGATGGAATAGCTTAATGCTTTTTGTCGTTTATGAGTTAAATGCCTTTGGCCGGCAGATCAAGTATTTTTTCATTCATGTCAGGTAATCGGTTTATTGGGGAACACGGAATGTTTACTTTTCAACATTTGTAAAATGTCTCAAAGCGAACTGAATACTCGCCTATAATACAAGCAGAGACACTGAAAGTCCACGAAGCAAAAACCGGTCGAGAGTACCGACTGTGATCATTCAAAAAAGAAATTGTCTTGTTTTGGGATGAAAACTATAGGCTTAAGATAAAAGAATTTAGAAAAAAAACTTCCCGAAAATAAAGAGGGAAACGACGTTAATAAAAATGCGAAGATCTTCCAAAGTACTGAGCGCGAAACAAATCAGGAATCATTCGCTGACACAAGAATGAGAAACGTCCGAGGCCGTTCGCGGTCACGGCCTTCGCTTCTCTCGGACGTCTAAGAATCGGTCTACACAGACTCCAGTCAATTTCTGAAAAACAGTATATGTGGGAAAATGAATCAAATACAACCCTGTTGCTGGTTTCAAGTACATTTTTGAACACAACTTGCAATACTATGAAGGGAAATAATCAATCGGCGACAAAATTGTTGTACTAAATAGGATAACTACAGAGAACAAACAAATCCATGCACACCCCTCCCCCTTCCCCTTCATTCAAAGTTTTTGTTGTTGTTGTTTTCTGTAGGTAGCTCGAACAGCGGCAAAACGTTGCATGGAGGGGATGAGGGAGGAAAAGCTTTCATTTCCCCTCTGGAAGTCAGTGAACCGTCAGAAAGCCCTTTAGGGTGAAGTGTCTCAACTAATTTTGTCGCTGATTGATGCTCTCCCCTAAATGTGACAAAATATTCGCAAACCTTGAAATCAGAAATATAATGATGGTATGACCATTAGAAAAAATGAAATTTTAGGCCCCGTCCACACGTGCACGTATCCGGATCTTTTGAAAACGGAGATTTTTAATTTTCCTCCGTATTCGAGATAATACGCATCCACAGGTAGCATATTCGAATCTTTTTCGCCCGTCAACATGACAACGCTAAAACGATGGAATCACGGAGCATGTGAAAGGCCCGGTTCAAACGTCGAATTTCGCATGTGCCGGACTTAACGCGAGAGTTAACTGCATGTGAATTGCGACGTTTGAATCAATTAAATTCGACTGTTTAAACTAAATGCGGCGTTTGCCGTATCTGCGACTGAAACTGTCGAAGATTCAATTTAGGTTCGACTTTTGATTCAAACGTCGCATTTCACATGAGCCGAACTTAAAGCATGAATTTTAGTAAATTTATATTACATTACTGGGAATATTGACAGCGAACAGAGTTGAACTCGACAGAGTTCAGAGAGTCAAATTCGACGTTTGAATCAAATGCCGTATTTAACTATTTTGGTCGACTAAAATAGGAATAAGTTCCGCACATGTGAAATTCGACGTTTGACTAGGCCTAATGCTAGTCGTATATGATGTATGACATTATCGTATTCGAAAATCTCCATTTTCGTTCGTCCACACGTAGACGACAAGCCAGCGTTTCCAAATGTAAATAAGAGACAAAAGCGGACTTAATATGAAGCCTCGTGGTGCGCCAGAGGAAACCCGGTTCTTAATTCCAGGCTTTTGCGGTCCGCATCCAAGCAGCTGTTAGACCAACCTCGATCAATCACGAAAACTTACGGGGACAAGGCTATTCACTACCATTATAAGTCACCATCTTTAACTGGTTTTAAGAAAGAATTGAAAACATATCTTTTTAGGCAACTTTTAGAGAGTGGGTCATTGTTTTTGTAAACTTTATGATTTTAAGACCTGTAATATAATTATTGTAAATAGATTTCATGCCTGTGATAAGTAAATTATTTCATTTTCCCCTTTTTTACATTGTAAAGCTCCGTGAGCTCAGGATATGAGCGCTATATAAATAAAGTTATTATTATTATAATTATGGATGAAGCTTCATTTACCCTACAAATCTTTTGCCAGTCTTTCAGCTAAGATATAAATCAAGTTAAATTGGGACAAGAAGCTGTCCTCCCCGCAGACGTCCTTTGGGGTTCGTGGGGGAGAAATATTAAATGCATGACGAACGAATCCCAAAGGACGTCTGCAGGGAGGCTAGACAGAAAGCCTGATGCGACTTAGTGCTGCAGATTTAGTGTAGGCTTCCTTGAGTTGCCCTGATGTATAATCCTTAAAAGTTCTTATCCAGAGTAACACTAAGAATTTCAATGGTTCTCGAGTCTCTACTTTAACACCGTTTACAACAATGTCGTTGTTGTACAAGCATGGCCCCAAGGTCAGCGCCTGCCTGGGTCTTGTCATTATTAACAACAAGGAGACGATTCTGATCAAACCAGAATAACAATAAGCTAAGCTCAGAGTTTACAACAAACTGCAGTACAGCAGGGGAGGTATCAGAGTAATATCCTGTTGTATCATCTGCGTAGAGTCTTAATAAAGACAGATGAGGAACGAAAATTTTAAAATCGTTAATTAAAATGTTAAACAGAAGAGGCCCCAGAAAGGAACCCTGAGCTACACCTACTTTATTGTCTGTATAACTAGAACATGTCCCTTGAACTTTAATCTCTGTTTACGACCGTCAGGTAGGAGGAAATCAACTGCAAGGCTCATGAGGAGAAAACATGCATTAAGTTAAGCCAGCAGTAGAATTTGATAGATTGAGTCAAATGCTGTGCTAAGACCTATAGCAACTGCAGCAGCCGCTTCCCTGTTGTCTAGAAATCTTCTCCAGTCCTCAGATATTTTCATGAGAGCAGAACAGCAAAAATGGTGCTTTAAAACTGCTGAAGTATTCAACGAAAGATGACTTCGAATGCCATAGTGTACTTTATCATTTATACATGATGCTCTCGGACACTTTGAACAAAGCAGTGAAAATTAATATGGGACGATAGTTAGCTTTGTCTGTATCAGCATCTTTCTTAAAACAGGGGTCACGATACTGCATTCAGTGCACTCTAGTGGCCAGGATTGACTGTTAATGAAAAAGTTGATTAATCTGAGCGATAATCTCGTTCACTATGTGTATAGCATCTTGGTTGTGTATACGTAGTATTATTGTCAGTATATTTAGAGCAGTTACGAGACTGTCCAATCTTCCTCGTGTGTTTTTTTACGCGAAGCAAAAGTTTATCAAATAAAGGAGAGAAGTCACGTTGTCGATTAAGCTGTTCGTTAAGGATCGCAGATTCTTGAGTTCCTTTGAAAGTCGAAAAAAACAAATAAGTTATTTAACTTCCTATTTTGATTCCTGTCGGATGGAAAATGTGCCCGTATATCAAAGTTTAGAATAGAAGTAACAGTAAGATTTGCGCTTGTTTTAAAGTTTTTTGTTCGAAGTGAAAGTTAGTATTTCAAAGGAGCATCGCTGTTAGGCCTGGTCAAATCTTATGATAGTTGGTATAAATATGGAGGTAAAAAATAGCAAAGGAAATATTTTGCATGAGTTTTTTCTCGTACGTTTTATCTGTGCTAGGTCTGTAACGCTTTTATGCGCTGCGTCCTAGGAGTTAAATATCACAAAGGGGTGACCTTATCGTAGTTGGAAAATAAAACATCGACAGATACACTACCCAATTTTGTATTTGCACTGGTAAAGAGCATAAAAATATAAAATAAGATTTTTTTCTTCTCTCTTTTTTTTCCATTTTTTTTTTTTTTTAACGAAAGTAAACAAATTCAATGAAAGGTTTTAAAAAACATCACGATAGAAATGAACCAGTTGAAAGGGTTTCTTATATTGGATCCTAACAAAGTGAAAAGGTCGTTTTTCTCTGAGTATTAAAGTACAGAAGGGCTTGTCATGTTTGATTTTAAAAGGGCACATCTTAAATGCTCTCTGCATTATGGAATGCCAGATTTTTGCCTCCCAATTATTTTCACTTTTAAGTTCCTTTTCATTCTCCAGAGATGAAGTTCAAGAAGTTAACAAGGGTCTCTGTTGGTGTAACCTGCTTCGCAATTTTGGTTCAAACTGTATTTTGTCGTTTATACATTGGAACGAATACACAGTTCTGCTGTGAAAAGACTGTAAACTCAAGTGGCTTCCGCTGCTGGAATAAAACAGTAAAGGAAAATGGAGTACAGGATGCGTGGAAATTCGACAACTGTTCTCAATATGAGAATGAAAAAGCATGCTTTAATGTCACTGAGATGCATTCTTGTCCACAGAATCATAGTTCTACTCTCCCTGTGCAGGAAAAAAGACAAATTCACATTGGAGCGTTTGTTCCATTCCTAAAAGATGACAGATACGGACATTTCACAGCGATGAAAATGGCCATTGATATAATAAACAATCGAACTGATATTCTAGATAATTACACTCTGGTGCTGGACTCTGAAGATACAATTTGGGTAAGTGCATGATACTTTATTGATATGAATCACTTCACTGAGGATGATTTTGATGGGTCATTCTTGTAAGACGGACTTAACAATTACTTCTAAAATCTTCTTGTCAGGAAGAACACGAAGAGCGCTCAGACCATTTGTACGGAAAATCCGATAATTCCGGGAGTAGTTTTGCTTCAGCAAACTTAACCGGATTTAGTTATAGTTATAGGTATAGGTAAAAACCCCAAGTGCGAACCTTGACGTGTTACTATAAAAACACCAAACAATTAATAACTTAACGAAGATCAATTAAAACACACGACTAATAAAACCAGACACGTTTCTTAAGACACGAGAAATCAACTTTATGACCCTTTAATAGTAGAACTATAAACCATCATGGCGGCCGGTCGCCTCATTTGGTCGCTCCGGCTTTTTGTCCTTTTCATTCTCGTATGCAAGGTTAGGTGTTCAACAGGAACAAGAAATTGCAATATAACGGCCACTCGTAGGCTGAGAAAAAAGTTTTTTAGTCGTGTAATCCATTACCGTCCAAACTGAGATGCTGGCTATAATCCATGTGACTGTATTCATCCGAACCCAGGACCTGTGAAGAACCCCTGTGTACACTGAAAAAGAGCAATTGTCGACTCAAATTCAAATTTCACATTAAATGTGGTGGAATTACAGTCAAGAAACATTTGCTCATGGTTTCGGGTAACAAAAGTTGGACCTGTCAACCATGTTATTTGAAATTTATGCAGGAACTTCCATTTCACTCCGCATCGTCGAACTCTTCGCAGGCGGAAAATTTAAATCTGTCTGCTGTTTCTGAAGTATCAGAACAAGTGGCGGATGTACGGGAAGACTTTTCATTTTTGAGGAAGGAGTATCCAAGGAATTTAACATCGCTTCTTACAATATAAACAGCCTGCAAAGCAAATTTGTAGAGGTTAAGGAATGGCTCGATCAACGAGTGTTCGATGTATTAACAATTCAAGAGACCAAGATTGATCGAACATATCCCAATTTCCAGTTTCAGGTTGAGCACTATAAGGCAGTGAAAGAGCGTTTCACTAAATTATGCGAAGAAACGCATGGAAATCAGAGGAAATTTTGGGGTACCATTTCACCATATATTAATTCACGTAAAAAAGTAAATATCGGCCGGATAATGTGGGACTTTGAATGCATATTTTACTGGTTTTGATGCTAACAGTGCGAATTACACCTCCACCCCCGATATTGATGTACATGTATGTAGGGTATGCGCGGGTTCTTACAGTTTTGTCCGAGCGGTCCTGGGTCCGAGTTTGGGACCGAGCGAGGGTTTGAACCAGAGTGAGTGGAGCCTGGACCCGAATCATACACGTGGGATCGCGTGTGGCGGTGTGTCACGTGATCAAGAATCTCGTGCGATTCGCGTACTTAATATTAAGGTTCGTGTTATAGTGTGAGTTAGGGTTTTTCTTCAAGCTAAAGTCGGATGAGGGTTCGTGTGCTAATCGGAACAAAAACGGAAACCTATGTTCGAAAATTCATTCAATAGTAGTGAGGGTAGAACGGGTTTATATTTGTCAGCAAATCGTCCATAGCAGAAATGTGGATTAAACATAAACAGTCATCCTTTTCGAACAACGCATGCGCACGACTAATTCAGAATTAATTTCACTTAGGAAAATTAGTGTAAAATTCTCGTTAGTATTCCCGCTTGTCACGCTTGGGACCTTTTCCACACCAAGGAGAGCAATTTTGAAACGACAACACTTATTCACGCTGAAAAAGTATATCTCCAACAACACTTTGCAGTAGCGCAAGCTGTTCACTCTAGCAAGCAAAAATCGCTCAGGTAAAACATGCTAATTTCTTTCGACTTACCAAACATGTTTCTTTGAATTTAAACAATGAAAAAGTAATCAATCCTATCTATAAATTTATAACCCAAAGCAAGGAAGCAAAGTCATTTTACAGTCGAATAAAGTATATTCTCAAACACGTTTACTCAAGTAAAAGCAAAGGCAATAATGTTCATTGGTCTAAATCAAAATAGCCATACGGATACGTCTTGAACGTCTTCGGGTCTACCATGCGCTTATTAAAGACCAATCTATAATTTTTGTACCGAGGAAACGTGTACAGCTCGTAGCGCTTCGCATTTCGTTCAATCTGATAGGTTTTCACCACTTGGGTTTCACGCGGCTGTTCCAGTGGGTGTCGCACTTCTGCCAACACGTTCTTCTTCATTACGTCATAATTTAACTGTTCGTGTCCTTCACTGTTCAATGAAATCCGCGCACTTTACAGCAAACTTTCCCTTTTTTAGTTGTGTACCCATAATTCTTGGGCCCTCCGGAGACAATTCTGCAATGTAGTAATCTCCATCGAGCCTACTTCCTACTTCCTATTCTCCCAAGGATTGACCGAGCTGAGGATTGGGTTGACCCGGTTCGCTGACAAACATAACTGAGTCCGTGTCAAAATACAGACAGCTTTCTTGCGATAATTCTAAGGCTTCGTAGAGATGTAATCGCGCCCACCAGGTGGTGAAACAAGCCACAAAAATATTCACATACACCGCTGGCAAATCATCTCCGTCTGTTTTCTTGAAGTAGACTTTCACCACATCGTCCGTCACCACATTAATCGATCCGACATCGATTTCGTCCGAGTCCAAAAACTCCGTCAGTTTGCGGTGTTCGGTGAAATCTTTGATTCGGGTCTTGTTGAGGGCTTATCCGAACTTCCCCCACATGTTGTTCAAAGAAATCTTCACCACACTTCTTAATCCAAGATTATATTCCATCTTGTCTGCTTCGAGCAGGATCCCCTCATTTGCATAATAAGCTTTGATGAAGGCCGCTTTCTCTTCCGGTTTTGCGGTCCAGCTCGCTTCTTCGTTAATCTTTAACCATGTGTTGATATAGTCTCTGAAGAGAGCTGTTGGTCTTTCTGGGAAATGCCACACTTCATCGACAGACCACAGGTCGTACCCCATTTCCAACGATTTCATAATTTCAGGCGTACACCATGTTCCATGCAACACGCACTCCTCTTCCGTGTGATGACACACCGCTAGTTTCTCGTTGAGTGGTTTGGCCATTTCTTCTTGCACGCCGGCAGAGCTCCCCGATCGTACCTAGGATCCTAAAGCCAGTCTTTTTTGCAGTTGAGTACCAGGCCCCGCGAATTGATATCCGCCTGACAAATGAAACTCTCTGCCCGTTTTGGCTAAAAGTTTTTGAATATCCAATCCTCTACCGCGCCGTCGTCTGATACGGTTTTTTCGTCGCCCGTGTCTTGCGTGTACTTTTCGTTTGCTCGTCATAATCCAATATGCGTTTCAATGGGGTGTTGTTCCAAGGTTCCCAAATATAAGCTGCTTTTATTTTCTTGGAAGAGGGAGCTGAAGGCAATACGCGTTTTTTACCGGTCACAGCGGAGGCAGGTGTGAACTGAATGCTTGCCAGTTTGAGCTTGAGTTAATAGGTTTTTTGAGAGAAGACGTACTTGGGTTATCCACAGAGGATGGTGGCCTGATAGGCGATAGCGGCAGGGATGACGCAACGGAACTAGGAGTAACAGGTTCTTTCTTGACCAATTTTTTGACTAAATTGAGTAAAGGGCCTGAACTTAAATCATTGACTTCATTGTCCTCCAAACTGAGGGGTAACGCGCTTTTTGTGTCCAAGTATCTACTTTTTGACGTAAATCACGTACCATCGTCGCTTTTAAACCATCGGGTAAAATAGAATTAAGGATCGCTTCACGGTTGGCCACTTCCTTGGCTGCTTTCGCAATGATATTGTTCTCCGATAAGGATTGTTTATGTTTTTGAATCAGAGCGTCCAACTCGGACGGGCTAACCAAACACTTTTTTTTCAAAACTCATGTTGTTTCAATCCAATACAGTAAGGACAAATAATTACGACAGCTAGAACGTATGAGGCGTAAGAGGTCTTGTTGCTTTGTCATGTCAATCAATTGTTGTTGTAATGTGTCAGTGGTTTTTTCCTGACAGGCATTTTATCCACCAGTTTGTTTGCTTTGGCTTTCATGAGCGGGTTAGTATACGTTTGGAAAATCTATTACGTCATCGCGGGCAAGTCCAATCTTGTTCAACACACTGTGTCATAACCGGAACATGAATTAGTGACAATGTTCCAAACATGCGCTTCCAAAGTTTGCGCGGTGTTTTGAATACGAGCTAGTGATGTTAAAACATGGTTGGGTATGCAACAGCGCTGACATTCTATAGTTAGCACCATCAATAACCGTTTCAACACAGACAAAATAGTTTGAATTTCTTGCTCCATCGTTTGTATCTGTAAACATGTCTCCGTCTTTTTTTCTAACATTTCCAATAAAATGTTGACGACATATAATATGGACTCTATTGTTTGAGACATGTTATACATGTGGTTTTCGGTCCTGCCCAAAAGCCACGACCTATTTGATTCATCAAGAGAGTGCGACGAGCTTTTATAGATTGACTCCGTTTACCCAACGTGTGTAACCTAGTGGCAAAAGGTTGTAACTGCTTTTTGGTGTAGTCAACGCCAGTAGACTTAATGCATTAATTTGATCTGCATTTGCATGTTGTAAGCGTTCTTGTCTAAGATGATCATTTTTTTCGCGTAACACGCTTTGTAGAAAAGGACGTTGTCTCTGAAGTGGATTCGCACTAAACGTTTATAGTGGCGGACATTATCTCAGATCCCTTTTATAGCTTGTTTTCCTAATAAAACCTCTAATTTAGCAAAGGAGGGAGACGGTCCGCTTAAAAACATGGCGGCACCTTCTAAAATTTTATTCGCAGTCCGAGGCTTACATCGATTCAATGCTCCTACCTTTTGTTGTTTTCTCTTTAATTTTTTTTATCCCTTTTTTCGCAAGTTTTACACACGCTACCACTTTAGGTGCATATTTGAGACCTCACCGAACTCCTTTCAGTCGCCACAGTTGCAGCGGTAGCGAAAACTCGTCCTCTTACAAGGCGCAAAATCCGTGATTAAATCTTCCACGGTTTGCTGTTTGATTAAAAATCCTGTCAATTCAGTCGGTACAACCCCGCTAGCAAACGTACGTAATTCTATTAAGGTTTTTCATGATTGGTGTAAGCAAAGCGAGACATTTCTTCCTTTCGGGCCGTGTTTCGAACATCAACCCACCGTTTCACCAACACTCCAAGGGTTGTTAGCAATGTCACCAACCAACTCAACCCTAAATTATTGCCAGCAATCACACCACACAAGGTTAGTAACAAAGCTATTCCATTAAAACAGGCGTTGATTTTCTTAAAATGTTGATAATGTTTGCGACACCAATATTGACGATGGTAATAACGAAACTACTTTTCCAATTCAAACAACATCTCTTTAGGGGATGGATTGTGCGAATAGTTCCATTCAATAAAGAGACAAGTAATTTAGACATGTATTTGTTCATAAACAATGACGGGAAAATCTTTGTCTAAGATATTATTCGTCCACAACCGATAGCGATCGTCCAAGGCTGGATGCAAATCGAGCCAGAAATAACCAAAAGGTTGCTGTGTCGCTTCTTGAAACAACGTCAACGCTTCTTGCCAAAGACTGGGAAATGTTTGCAGTAAGACCGTTCTTATACCTGTTTTGTCTCGTGGATTTTTAAAGACTGCCATATAATGGGTATTTCGATTCACGGTTTTAGCATATTTACCGGCCGGAAAAAGATCTTGGATCAAATAACAGACCGTAATGTTTGAATGATGTGAATGTTTAGTAAAGATATCCACTACCAACTCGTCATTCCCCCAAGATCGCATCAAATCATCGATCACTAACAGACCCCTTTGCGTAGGAGTAAACCACGTTTTAAGATCGTCTAACGTAGGCACCCCTTCACGAAAATGAACCCCATCTTGTTTTTTCATCTCATCAAACAAAGGCTGATACGAGCCATAACAATAATGTTGATTAGGGGGGCACAGTCGATGAAGCTGACGTAATAAATGTTGCGTAAAATAAGTTTTGCCTCAACCGGAGGCGCCCGTATTCAGAATTCGAGTAGGGGCTCGTATCATAATGTTAGTTGGTTTTAGTACATACATAAATGAGCCCCCATAGGTTAGGAACCTTCTTGATAAAACTTTCACTAATACGATCTCTTATATGGCTTTCGGGACAAGTGTGAAATAAATATGTATGGAAGCCTGTCCAATCGAACTGTTCAGCATATTGTCTCAATTGTTTATAATGATGATAACCCCAGGTATCCCCAAAACAATCCTGAGGATTTATGACTGAAGCCCAATATTCCATTTCTTTTAACAATTGGATGGATTTTTGAACCGTAAGTGTGCACATGATAAAATGAAAAGGGAAGGTGTGAAGACAAGGACTTATATACACACAAACGAAAGTTTACACTTTTTTATTTTGACATATCGGACACCCAGGTCTTACAACAATGTTTTCTAGTAACAAACCTATTTTATGATCATTGCTTACAAAATCATGAGAAGAAAGTTGTTCTAAAAAATCTTGTAATGACAATCCTCTGGCTTTGACTTTTAAATAAAGCAAAGCATAATGCCCACAGGCCGCACTGTTCATGGCTTGAATAGGTTGATTGTTTCCAATCAAAGTTTTTTTAGGAATCCATGCCTGCAAGTCTCTCGCTTCATACATGCTGACCGGTAACCCATAACTATCCATGATTTCACACACTTGATTCTCCCACCATAGTCCTAACCAATGCTTCCCTGCTTCACTTTGAGGATCTGTATTCAAAATAAGCGCTTTTTGACCTCTAGGTTTAGGTAATTCATCGGAGGCATAGACACCTCCAAAGACTCGTTTTAAACAAGGATCTTGACGCGCTAAATCCAGTAATGTTTGGGTGGATAACGGAACAGTATCCATTGTTTAAATCACACCTCCGCGATGATCCACTTCAATCACTTGTTCAAACTCTCCAAAGACAATAACTGTTAAATTCTGGTTGACAGCAGCCGCAAACTCAATTTCAATTCTTACATCACCTGTCTGGGGGGTTTCTAGGGGATGAGTCGTCATCGCCTGAAAAAGTGTACAATATCTTCCCTGACCTCTATCTGAAGGTTTAATCATGGTGCTACCTCCTTTAATAGTTTTGGCGAGAGTTATGAGCATGCAATGATAGCCTGCATAATCCTTGGCTTCATCTGTTCCATTCAATTCTAGAGTAGAATAAGGTCTTTCTTCATTTCCAATCATTTGCTTTATTCGAGTCAGTCCAAATTTTTGGAAACAGATGGGGTAATACCCTAGATCCCCATTAAACGCCTCTGAAAGAACCAACCCCCACAATGGTACGATCTGAGGTCCTGCCAGGGAAAAGATTCGCTTCCTCTCATCTGGTGGTGTTTCCTGGGAAGGTTAACGTTCTGCTTTCACTGGTCGTGCCCAAATACTTGATCCATTTGCCTTTCACACGATATTTGGCCAAACTGTTGTAGAGGGTAGGGTTTAGAATAGGTCTGGACAAATAGAGACTCACACTGATATCATCATTGGTAAGAGAGATTTGTTTTTTAGCAGCAATATTGGTTCCCCACGGGAAGAAATTAGGACTGTTTAAATAAAATTTCAATCCTTGCTTGACTCCAGGTGCTAACAATTTTCCTGTATAAAACATCGCTAGATGAAGCCGAATAATCAAGGGCACAAGTTCATTGCCGTTAAATTTTTGGTGGCGTCTTTCAGAGCAAAGGACTCTGCATGCTTGTATCCAGTGTTGGTAATTTTATCATCTGTACCACTTGTTCTGGTTAAGGAGGGTATTAATTTGGACTGATTTGTCGCCCATTCAAGGCCATGGTCATGTTTTTAAAGATCGAATGAGCCAAATTATTAACTTGGTAGACATATTTCGTTGCTGTGTTATCAGAGGCAGCATCATCTCCATCAGAACGTTCTGGTGTAGTGGCGGCGGTGTTCAGGCGTAGATCAATTTGCACATAACTTTGAGTGGATTCTATAATGATGGGCCCGACTTCAGCAATCACATGTTCTTTTAATCCACGACCAAACATAGCTGGCGTGTGGTACCTTCGTAGACTTCCGCCCCGCATCGGTGAGTGCGTATGAAACTTATGTTACGGAACGTTTGGAATCTTGTGATCAAGGCCAACTTTTATACCTGTCTAAACAAGACGGTCAGGAATGTTTTTCCTTGATCCAACTCCACCATAGAACCATCATTTTCTCGTAAATGTGTTTCAGTTGTTTCCAGATAATGTTGCAATCGGCAAGGAACCCTCTGAATGTGTTTGGGTTCATAGTATAGGGTGCCTTGTTGCTGTCTATTACAATGGGCTTCCGCTAAAAGATTTGGCTCTGAACCTAGTCGGAATACACTAATATAATGGACGAGGGACGAGTTACTGCTTCCTCAAAACAGGGATTCAGATTACAAAACACCTAATCCACCAGCAAGGAAATTTGAAGCCATTGATGTGAACTGACTTGCGTGGTGACCCGCTTTGCATCTTGTCCCTAATAAGGAGCGAGTTGTGTTTGAATAGCGGTTTGCTCACTACTATCGAAATGCTGTTTTAAATTTTTCATCATGAGCATACCAGTGCTGACCTCCAATAAACTCTGAGGTGTCATAAACCCTTGACATCCTAATTGAATATTGCTCCCAACTTCGTGGATACAAAATTCAAAGACTATAGGTTTTTGACTTGTGCTCAATAGAGCATTATGTCTATGACTAGTCGCGGGCATACTAAGCGAGTAAAGCGCCACTTCCCAACCATGCCCAGCCAAATGTAAGGGGGTCGGTAGGTGTACTTTAAAAGAATGGTTTTAATTGTCAAAATATTCAGGCGTTTTATCACTCACTAGTACGACACGTTGCATGTTTGTAAAAATGTGGTGTTGATTGTTGAGGGTCCATCGATTTAAAATTTTCTGAACACGAGATTCACAATGGTTTTACCCGCATCCAATTGAAGAAATTCACCATTGTTTTTCGCAATTTCAATTTCAGTCGTTTCCACAAAATGCGTCCGACACGGTCTTTCACAATACACTTCTCTCAACAAGTTAGGTTTCTGCTCTCCCATTATTTGACTTTGTAGTAAATCAGATTAGACTAAAGAGACGGTAGAGACTTGGGACACGGCTCTTTGAAACAGGCATCTAAATTTCGAAAGACCCATTCCATGGTAAGGGAAAGATAGAAATAATTGCTCAACACTTTGTAGACTTGTTGTCGTCCAAATTCTGTCCGTTGAACTCCGTTATTTTGATTAGTGGTGTCTTCATAAGGTAAACGAAAATAACAGTTTTCTTCCACTGGTCTGTATGTGTTATTTGTTACTTCAAACTACCCCATTTTAACAGCAAAATGTTCTTCAATACGAAATTCTAACCCACAAGCCTTTATTTGGTTATAGCTTTTACAGTGGAGTATAAATTCATCCCTATTCCATCGGGCAGTAATAGTATCACTTGGGAAAGAATAATATTGTCTACCCCTACTTGAAGGCGCAAAGTTTTGATTCACTAAATGTTGTTCGCTATCGATACGATGTTTTAAGATCGTCATTAAATGAATGCCACTGGTTGCGATACGGGCTTCTTGATTCGGGATATAACCTTCCCATTGTAATACTTGATTGTCGCTGAGTTGTCGACTACACCTTGTGAATTGAAGCGGCCATGTCACATCATCGTTGTGCAATCTGAAGGTGTCTCTATCATGACAGTTTGGGAAAGTGATAGAATGCAAGGCCATTTCCCACGTTCCGTTCTCTAACTGTAGGGGGGCTGGAAAACGTACTTTAAAATGGTTCTTCTTGTTATCGGGAGATTCAGGAGTCGTACTATTTTCTAACACAACACGTAACATTTTTATATTAAAAATGATCTTTTATACAACTGAGTCACTTTTATTTATACAAGATCTGATTTTGAATCAATGAATCGTCATCCCTACTAAATCCCTTCCAGCGCACTTTGAGTTGATGGCCTTTTCGCGCCAAGACTTTTTCAACCCGGAATAATTGATCGTCTATGTTGTGGTTCAATTTTATCCTTGGTTGAAATTATATTTTCGTTTGTTTCAAACCCATTATCGTATATTACCATACCCAAAAACAAAGGGAAATAAAATTTAAACCAAAGACAAAATTGAACCACAACATCTACATTCACTTTCTGTAATTCTCGTTTCTAAAAACTACCTTGAATAGGGGTCCCGTTCCATTCTGTAATCTCTTAGGTACTGACCACCCCAGGAATCACTTGACTAACTAAAAAGACTTCCTCGGTCCATTGTGGCAAATAGGATTTATCAAACACTTTTTGTTTTTTACTCAATCGCACACGATCCCCCACTTGAAAGATAGGTTTTTGTCGCTTGGCCTTGATCCGTTTTCCATACAAATTCAGCCACACTTGTCGTTCATTCTTAGCATTCACATCTTTGGACGACATTTTAATACTTCGATGAGTGGTAGAATTATAGCCTTTTACAAGAGCCGGTAAAACGTCTAAATAATGCAGTGTATCAGCGGCAATGAGATAGCGGTATAAGCGTTGTTTAAATGTACGATTGAACCGTTCCACGACAGCGGCTTTGGTGTCTCCTTTGGTAGAAAGTAAATGAATCTGATGTTTTTTCAACAAGGCTCTAAATGTTGCGTTTTTGAACTCATGGCCGTTGTCGCTTTGAATCGTCAAAGGAATTTGTCCACTCTGTTTTAATGCCTTAGCAAAAGCTTTGGTGACTTCTTCCGGAGACTTGTTTCTCAAAGGTACTACCCAAGCAAATTTCGAAAGAACATCATTGACGCTTAATAAATAACGGGTCGTTTTATTCCATTTGGCCAGCTGACCCACTTCCATTAAATCAAAAACACACTGCTGATTGATAGATAACACCATCACAGGTTCCGTAGGATAATGGAGGCGGCGAGGCTTATGCAACGTATAACTCGGTAGTGATTGCAATAGTTGTTGCGCTTCTCGGGTGGAGAGTTTGTTTGCTTTCGCAAAGGGTCGAACCCCACCCAGACTTCCTGCTTGTTTCGGGTTTTCGTACTTCTGTTGACTTGATTTCATGGTGTGATACAATGACAGATGAATCCTTATAGTCTGTTTTTATACGTACAGCCAAAAGAGAAGGAATCTGGTCGAGAAAAGAATGTTGTAGAATCAAAAACCATAGATAGCCTGCTTGATACCCATGACTCCTCCTCAACCAATTGATATACACGATAAATTGTCCCTTATTTGATACACCCGTGGCTTGAAATAGTTGTATGGGGCAATAACGTGCAGGAGGTATCTTTAATCCTTCATCTTGAGCTACCCATGTAAAGATTCCCCAAAGAATATAAGACCTCATATTGATTTAAAATGTGTTTATTACGGATCAAAAACAACCCTATTTATAACAAACCGTTTTTTTTTTTTATTTTAAGCTCTGACATCGTTGTATTTTATCACTTTTAATGTATTAAAAACGTGCAGGTTCAAACAAGTTACGTCTAGAGTAAACTAATTCTATGCATTGCTCTCGGCCCGTTTCTTCTCCGAAATCACCAAAGTGAACGGTTTGAGCTTCTTTATCCGTAGCTTGTTCTTCTATTGTTCTGTAAAAAGAACAACGGCTGGAAGTAGGTTGGACTTCTTTTTCCAGTAAGAAATGGTCAATCAGACGTTTCCGGTGTCTTTAGGCTTCCGCAAACTGACCGCATTCCTGTGCATACTTCATATAATACCCCTTTAAGGCTTGCTAGGCTACAGGAGTTCTACCGAGACCTTTTTTGATGCTCATAAGCGGGACGCATGCATTCTTGAAATCTAAGCCCTTGGAAATGATCTGGACTACAGATTGAATTTATACAATTCTCTACAACCACGAATCCTTCTTCTCGTAAGGGCACTTTGAATTCTTCAATGGGTGGGAAACAGAATAAACCACTGTCCACAGCAGGTACTGTCTTCGGTTCTTTAGAACTCATGGAGATAGGTTGTAATAATTCTTTGTCTTTAGGATGAAGAGAGCTGTCCACCCATTGGAAAAATCGACTGTTTCCATCTAGTGAGGTGAGAAGCACTCTGTTCTTGTTTTTGGCAGTCCGGCTCATTCTCAGGACGGTTTGGGTGCCATCCACATCTTTCAACTGGTTCCATTGGCCTCGTACTTCTGGATGAGTGTAATTATTACAGAATTTGAGTATTTCTAATATACTTCCTCCCTCAGCAAAGATGTGACTGGGGGCAATAAAAATACCCTTTTAAATTCTCTTCACGTTCAAGGTTTCTTGCGGGTAAAATGGACAGAGAAGGAGTGAATAACTAAGAAAGAGAAGTCCAAAGACTACTGCAAAGCTGATTCAAAACAACGTGTATTGTTTTTTATAACAACATTTCGGCTGGCCATACCAGCCTTCTTCAGGTTTTCAGATATTACTGAACTTATCCGGCAATAACAACATTATATAGATGGAGAATGTTGCAATAAAAGGAAGAGGCGGAAATGACGTACAACATAAAAATACTAAGGATATGGATTACAATAATTCGTCACGGCGGTTTAGGCCATGAGGTTCAAGAGTCATGGCCTTATCTATCAAATGCGACTCCCTGGCCTTACGAACTGAGTCACGTGAAGAATGAATTTTCTCTAGTGGGATTAACTGCATGTCAGTATGAGAATGGCTAGAGTGAGAGAAAAAGTGTTCAGAAACAGTAGTGGGTTTAGATTTAATGTTAGATTTGTCGGCTGCACGTCTGTGTTCGTTAAATCTGTCCTTGATACGTCGCTTAGTTTCACCTATATATTGTAAACTACAAGGGTTACATTGAACCATGTAGATCACATTTTTAGTGTTACAAGTAATGTGTGAAGTGATGGAGCGTCTTTTACCTGTAGCGTAAAAGGTATAACTTGTGAGGCCGTTAGTAATGTATGGACAAGTGGCACAATTCTGTCCACAACGGAAGGAGCCTGGCGGAAAATGATTGGTGAAGATAACGGGTAGTTGTGCTTTAACTAAGAGGTCACGAAGATTAGAGCTACGTCTGTAAGCAACAAAAGGCGGTTGCTTGAAGACGTCTTTGCAACGGTTAGAGGAATGTAAGATGTTAAAATGTTTGCGTAGGGTATTAGAAATGGGTGGAAGTGCTGGGTTATATGTGACAACAAATGGTACAACATCGTTAGAAGCTTTGGGTTTAGTCTGTAACGCGTTAGTACGAGAAATATTAGCAGCGCGTAGGAACTGTTTTTCTAGGAAATTATTATTATAACCACGAGCAAGGAGATATGTTTTAAGTTTAATGCGATGTTTAAACTTAGCGTCTGTAGAGCAGATACGGCGGAGGCGGAGGGCTAAGCGGAACGGAATGGCTTTCTTAGTGTGGTGAGGATGACATGATGAGCTGAGAAGGTGCTGATGTTTATCAGTGGGTTTAGTAAATAGATCAGTTTCAATTATACCGTTATGTAGAGACACGATGACGTCGAGAAAAAGAACGTTAGTAAGTGAGCGACAGCTAGTGAACTTAATAGTGGGATGAATGTTATTGAGATAATCGACGAATATTTTCGATCCGAACCTTCTGTCCAGATCATGAAAATATCATCGATATATCTCCACCATGTGTGAGGCTGCCAAGAGGCGTTAGTGAGAGCGTTGGTTTCGAACATACCAAGAAAAAGGTTAGCAAACGAAGGAGCCATTTTAGTACCCATAGCAGTACCATGGATTTGAAGATAATGCTGTTGGTTAAATGTGAAATTATTCATGGTGAGAATCATGCGTAAGAGATCACATAGTGTCTCTGTGGGGATGTGTTTGTTAGGGCGGGTATCAAGAAAATGACGGCATGCATCAATTCCTTGATTGAGTGGAATGTTGGTGTAGAGCGATGACACATCAAGAGTTACAAGAATAGCGTTGTTAGGTAGGTTACCGAGGTTAGAAAGTTTATTAAGGAAGTCAGTAGTGTCTTTAATGTGTGAATCCAAGGGACTAGTGCACCCCCTCCTAAAAAAAATCCTGGATCCGCCCCTGGGATGTCATGTTTAATGGCGTCTACGTACGTGTTAAGTGCAGGGTCTCGATCAGTAGGAGGCGTCCATGAGCTTTTGTTATCAAATGGGTTGTGTTCGATAGGTTGAGTGCTGTTATTGTGATCATGAAAATATTATTTTAAACGCATGCGTCGCGTGAAGTCGTTAATATCAGCAGATAATTCTGCCAAATTTATACGTTTAGGTGTGGCGCAAAAGGTTAAGCCGCGACCGAGGACCAATAATTCGTCATTAGAAAGTGGAGTTTGGGACAAATTAATAACAGAGGTGGTGTCGAGATTAGTGGTTTTATGGGTTTTACGAGGTTTGCGTTTACGGCGATTGCGTGTTTTGCCAGCCTGTGTAGGTACGGTGGGTGAGGGTGTAGGTGTGTTATTGTTAGGGCGTGATGTTTGGTTAGTGAGGTGATTTTTGTGAGCACGTCACGTCCAAGGCCATTCTGCGTTACAATGTTCTGCTAAACGGTTCTTGTAAAATGTCAGTTCCTTTCGTAAATGTTTGATCTTTCTTCTCCATTCCTTGGTCAGCAGGATAAGGTGTCTGCGGGCGGTAAGGCGGCAAATGTTTCTCCATTGTTTATAGAACCAAAAGTTATTAGTGTCAAAGGCTGGAATGCATCGCGGTAGTAAGCTTTTAGGTATAATGTTGTTAGCAGAGTAGAAATCATAATTCTTTACATGGTGCGGATAACGGATTAGCTTGAGTTGAATCCGTTTGGTAGTGTTGAAGAGGCTTGAAAACTGAGGTGTAGAAGGTGTTGTGGGGCCAGGATTTGATTCAATATCCATGCAGATAGCATCGAGTGACGAGATGCAAAAGATCACGGTAAGAAAAATCATGACCCAAGAGAGTTTCGTGGAGGGAGCATAATGTTTCGCACAATTTCCTAGCGTAGGTGTGCAGTGACTGCTGGCGGCTTTCGGCGAAAAAACACCAATGCAGAGTCTCCATGAAATAATATTGATGCCCATGATGATTTGATGGCAGCAGGAAAAACGGATCTGTTGAAGACCTACGGCTTAAAATGTTTTTGCAGTTTATTTAATCCTTTATTAAGGAGTGAATAGGCTCCTGCTGGTTCTGCTGGAGTAGGTGGTTCTGTGGGAGAAGGACCGGGGAGGGGCTCTCTCTGAATCCCTTGATCAAGGGTCTTCTCTGTTTGGGTAGCCTTAACCATTGTTCGTGCTGCTTGAATCATGTGGTTTAATGCTTCTTCCATTTCCAAGCCTTCTTTCTTCTTTTTCTTAACTGCTTGACAGGTTGACTGAGAGCAATAAAAATACCCTTTTAAATTCTCTTTACGTTTGAACTTCAAGCTATCTTGCGGATGAAATGGACAGACAAGGAGTGAATAGGCGTCTGCTGGATCTGCTGGAGTAGGTGGTTCTGTGGGAGAAGGACTGGGGAGAGACTGTCTGAATCCCTTGATCAATGGTCTTCTCTGTTTAGGTAGCCTCAACCATGGTTCGTGCTGCTTGAATCATGTGGTTCAATGCTTCTTCCATTTCCAAGTCTTCTTTCTTCTTTTTCTTAGCTGCTTCTGTCTTCTCAGAGATGTCACGTTTTTTAACCATCTTGGTGTTTTGATACTCTACGGTAACGTCGCGATTTTTGTAGCGATGCCCTATTGTGTATAAAACCAGTTACACCTGCTTTACTTGTTTTTTTCTACTTGCCCAAACCTGCTTTATGACGTCATGCACAATGCCCTTGCCCAAACTTGTCCTATGATGATAAAAGCCAAGTGGTTACTTTATTGGCGCTACAAATATGACATGTTCCACTTGTCTCCTAGCTTCAGGCTATTCACAAGATTATTTTCAATAAAATTTCCCTTTGGTGAATGTGTTATTCATCGCTTTCGATTTATTTTTTTTTTTAACTCAAGGATATCCAGGATCTTTTACAGCAAAAGTTTACCTATCCTAAACTACAATTGTGTGATTATTGTAGGCGAGCCCATTATTTACTATGGCTGAAAAAACGACTACCCTTCTTTATTGTTTTGGACGAAGCCAGAAAATGAATCGTATGGCGGAAACGTATGGAACAGATATTGGACTATGTTCTCTGTGAGTATTGTGAAGAACCAATGCATGAAGCTTATACGAAAGGAGACGTATTGAGTTATGTTTCTGATCGCTGTAATACAGAAAATGTTTCCGGTATGAGGTGTCGTGATTCCAGCAATATTTTTCAGGACACAGACTGTGAAGAAGGAAATGATCGCTATCCCTTACCAATTGATCAAGTGGCTAAACTAAAGGAAGAGAATGAACGGTTGAAAATATAGAACCAGTTTTTTGGTTATTAACTTTAACCATAGTTGGTCCTAAAGGAACCGTCGGTAGCTCCTAAAAAGAGCTGTTAATTTATTTTTCCAGAAAGGCGAGCATTTCGATCAGGCGATTCTGTTCAGCTATACACTTTCTCAACAGGAGTTCTCTTGAATGCTTCAAATGTTTATTATGGACTCCTGCCAGGAAATTTCTATCTTACCGTACCTTTCCAACGAGGGGCCGCTTGGATTCTACGGGTGTAGAATCCACCAAACTATTGCCGGGTAGATCTCACTCGACTTCTTGAAGGGCTTTTTCCAGGATAGCTTCCATGATGAACATCTGATGAGTAGAGATGCTCTTAGTCTCTTTTTATAGTGTTTCATTTGCATGCGGTACATGGTAGTAAATGAGACAGCCGCGTGAACCATGAAGTCGGTGCGCCAAGGTAAAAATACTTCATCGCTACTTCACCGCTTTGACGGTAAAAACTCCGTCGGCAACGTTTATTAGCTTTTTACCGCTCTGTTTGGGACGGTAAATTTGATATCTAAACAAACTATCACTTCAAAAAGTAAGTTGTTTATATGTTTTTGATCAGAGCGTTTGAGAAGATATTTTTTCGAGTGAAAAAAATGACTTTAACTCCTTGCTTTGGCGTTGTTTGAATTCAAAGAAAGTGGTTGTTAAGTCGAAGGAATTAGCATGTTTTGCCTGAGTGATTTTTGCTTGCTATAGTGAATTGCTTGCTTGCGTTGCTGTGTGAACCACTTTTGATTTGAAAATATACTTTTTCAGCATGAATTAGCGTTGTTATTTCAATTGCTCTCCTTGGTGTGGAATAAGTCTCAAGCGTGACAAGCGGTAATACTAGCGAGAATTTTACACTTATTTTCCTAAGTGACATTAATTCTTAATTGGTCGTGCGCATGCGTTGTTCGAAAAGGATGACTGTGTATGTTTGTCCCACATGTCTGCCATGAACGATTTGTTGACAAATATAAACCCGTTCTACCATGACTACTATTGACTGAGTTTCCGAACATAGAAATACCGTTTTTGTTCCGATTAGCACACGAACCCTCACCTGACTATAGCTCGGAGAAAAACCCTGACTCACCCTATAACACGAACCTTAACCCTAAGTATGCGAATCATGCGCGGTATTACCTTTCTCACGCTTTTACTGGAACAACCAAAACTTTCTGTACCATTTGTTTGGATTACCAGTGCCAGGATTCCTCTCGAGAGAAAGCGTGAAATTTGCTGGTATTTTGTAAATGGCACAATACAATCCAATTCCTGTTTCGATGCAAAAATATTAGCAGTACCATTTGACGGAAAATTTTCACCGAAATTTCCGTATAAATGGTAAGCGCTCGAGATTAAAAGGGCCAACATGGCCAGCGTGGGACAGCTGTGAACCAGCAATACCCAACAAATCACACTCGAAATATTTCTTAACAAACCGACAAAGACAAGACAAAACTGGCAGCTTTTCCTCTCGTGTTTTGTTCCGGCTTTGTTTTATAGGTGCTTACATCCGGGGTTTACATCCGATTTAACATCTTTCTCTCCCTTAACTAATTTTACATCTTCAGGAACTTTCGCACTAGGAAAATATCTCTCACTTGTTTTCTTTAAAAAGGAATCTGATGTTTGGAGGACATCGGCTCCTTTTTTTACCGTTCTTCACATATAGATAACTTTAAGGTGACCCGAACCTATTTACATGCGCTTTCGTTATGTTTTTGTATGGCGTTTTCGGTAGGAATGATTTAACCGATGTCCATGATTTTTGGCATCCTTATTAACGAGTGGTCGAACTTGCTTAACTTTTTTTAAAGCATATGCCGATATCTCAAACGTTTCTATACCTATAAGAAAATAAATAGCATTTTCTTAAAGTTCAACTATTCTTTATTAACGATGCCAAAAATCATAGAAATCGGTTTAATCATTCCTGCCGAAAAGCCCGATTCAAAAACATAACCAACGCGCAAATAAATAGGTTCGCACCACCTTAAAGGTGAATTCGATGGGAATAGTTGATGCTCATTATCATTAGGTTCTTCGCATGCGACAGAACTTCGTGTGTTGATATATTTCCTTATGTTGTTTTTTTAAGGCTAGTGGTGCAACTGCCATAAGAGCATTGTTTACCCTGCTGAACAAGGAAAACAAACCTGTTATATTGCTTGGACCATCCAACACAGCTGCCCTGGAACCCGTTGCAGAGTCGGCAAAACTATGGAAACTGGTTCAGGTTTGGACATCAACTTTATTGTTATCATCACGGATGTTAATGTTTTCTGTGATGAGGCAAAATGAATAAAATAATCAATCAGTAGATGCTTCCCTCTAATGTTCCCATTATGATACTTGGGGTACTTTGAGTGCAGTGAGATAAACGAGCAAGATTTTCTTATTTATTTCTCTATTGATTGATTCATTTTACTATTACGCTGGAGTACGAGAATAGTTCGTCTTCGGCTCGCAAATGTAAACGCCAATACAGATATCCCGCTTTAGAGCGTTTTCACATGACTTCACGGCGACGATATTGGTGTTCCAGAACAATGAAACGGCGGCCATGTTAGTGTTCCAAAGCAGTCCTCTGCGAGTTGACTTCGTTCCTCGCGCAAGCGCATTCTTTTGTAATTCCAGTAAATTTGCATAGATGCTGTTCACGTGAGTGAAGACGCTCTGTGTATTGTCGTATTCTTTATAAATCATTAGTTAGGTTATTTTAGTTATTTTATGTTGTAAGAACAGAGTCATACGCTCCGGTCGTTTCTGCGGGTAATCGCTCTTGCAAAAGCAAAAAGGCGTTAAATTAAGATTTCCTTCTTCCCGTCTTTCAGGTTTCTTATGCATCAGGTTCGCCAAAATTTGAAAGCAGGCGGATTTACCCGAACACGTACCGTGCAGCTCCGTCCTCGGCTTCATTTAGCAAAGCAAAGGCTGCCTTCATAAAGTACTTTGGATGGAAGAGAGTAGCCATACTGCACCAATACGATCCAGAATTTTTTTCTCCTGTACAGTACTATTTTTTGTTTTAATGTTTTACGTAAATTTCGATTGTAAGTATGGACGTTAAGTTTCCACAGTAAGTGCACTACTGCTTTTTAACTGTGCAGCGTGAAAGCAGAATTGGCATTTCAACGGTTTTCTCCTTACACCTGCCTTGCAAATACTATTTCCTGGCGCAGCTCTTCCATTATGCACTATGTACAGAGCCAAGAAAGTACAATTTAGCAGCCAACGATTCTACGATACGACTCAGCCAATAGTTCATGACAGTCGTAAGAACGAGGAATATTTGATGTACAAGATGCAATATGTGCAGTAGAGTGTACCAAGCTCCACTAGGTTTCTATAATGCCATTATCCCGACGAAACAATTCACTCAACGCGGCAATTTCGACGCTTTTTATCGGGTAATCTCGGTACCTAACATACGGTCTACAGGGGGAAGATTCTCTTATCTTCAGAGACCCAGCAAACGATACACATTTAGTTCCAACAACTGCGCGGCATAGTTGAGGAAAATGCATTGGATTTGTATAGATTTACATGCAGCTCATACTGGACCTCTGGTCTTTACAAGTTTTTCTCCTGAGAGCACTACCTCGTAAAATCGTCCAGCCCCAAATTCTTAATTATAATCCCGACTTACGTTCCTTTTTTTTTTCTCCTTTTAAACTCTAATGCTCTCAAGGCAGACTTGGACTAGACGCATAAGATGGGACAAACCAAAATAAACCATACACATCGACCCATTGTCTGTCTGACTAACTGACTGATTTATTTATTGTTTTGTTTGCTTGTTTTTTGCACAGACAGTGGATAAGTTGAAGATCGCACTTGTGAAGAGCAACATTAGCATCATTGCAATTGAAGGTTTTGAAGAGCTCGGCGATGTCAGTTTTCAGATGGAAAAACTCAAGGTTATTGAACTCCTAGTCATCAGTTATTCATTTTAGTTATTTTTTACATTTTCTGGCTCTAGATTGCCACTGCCTCTTAGCTTCTTCTCAAAGCTGGTGTCTTTTTCCTTTTTTAATTAGAAATTGGATGCTAGAATAATTATCGGAGAGTTCAGCCACGTCGGTGCAAGGAATGTTTTCTGTGAAGTAAGTAATGAAACAAAGCAGAGAATGAGCTTTATCCTGATTTCTATTTTCAGTCTTCAATGCTGACCTGACTTGACTCATGACTCGTTGACTCTAGCCTGCGTTGCCGAGACAGACTTGTCACTAGAGTTCTCTATCTGTGTCTCGAATCGGGAAAATAGACTGTCTGCAACGCAGGCTAGTTGACCCACGTGACTATTAAAACAAAATTTCTCGCATTAATGCCCACGATTTATCATGTTTTGTCCTTCTCAGACCTTTTAACGGTATAAAACGAAAAAGTAAAGAGCTATGATGTTTTGTCTTTTTTTCTGAAAAAACTAAAACCTTCATTTAGCTGTGTTACATAAAACTCTAACTCATGAAATTTTTATAATGCAGGCCTTCAAAAGGAAGATGTATGGACCGAATTATGCTTGGATAATATTTGGTGAATTCAGCCCTACAAAAATTTTCGCTGATGACTGGAAACTTCGAAACAGTGTTTTGAGAGATTGTTCAAGTAACGAGCTAAAGGAAGCAACAAATGGTTACATTTCCACCATCAAGCTGGACATTCGTAAGGACAATAACCAAACCATATCCGGCTTGGTACGTTGACTAGTACGTTGATAGAGGACATTAACTATTGCGTAAACGTTTCCCTTGCTTTGCGGCACTGTAGCTTTGAAGGGTGAATTCTGCAGGTACGAACACCATCATGTTACATAAATGCAGTGTTTCTTTGTTGGCACCGCTTTTCGCTCAAAGGACGGTGGGATGTTATTGAGAAGACTACCTTTTCAAGTTCTAGCTTTCTTTGCATTCAAAAAAACAGAACTTTCCTAATAAAACACCAGTTCTGGGACGCCATTTTTTTTCCTGTTGTTGTCGTTATCATTGTCACATTAACGTTACTTTTTCATGTTTCTTAAGACGTCTGAAAGATTCTGGTGGCAGATGAGGCAACTGAACGAGCACAACAATCTGAGAAAGGACTCTGCGTACGCCTTCGATTCAGCATGGGTAATAGCCATGGCACTGGATTCCGCTTTTGCTAAAGGGATGAAATATGAGAAGCTTTTAAACCGAAAATTCAAGCACGTTGCAGCGATAAGAAGTGGTATTCAAAACATAAACTTCGCGGGATTAACTGTAAGTATAACCTACGATAACATGACAGATTTTGAATTAAGCGTTTTATCAATAAGCATTATGCTACACGTTCTTTAAAGACACAGAAACAGAAAAATTGTTTTGCGTGCAGGCAAAAGCTGCTTTTAAATAATAATATTCTTCAGTTGTTCTTAAAGATTCTAGTACATTTAAGATAGAATTTAGTATTTTTTGTTGTACAGGGGCCTGTAGGTTTTGATGAAAACAGAGAAAGAGTTGGAACAGTTCTTATTAAGCAAAATAGAGAAGGTAAGCTGCTCTGTAAGGATAATGGTTTCTTGTAGGAAAAGTGCTTGGAAGAAGAATTTCCTGTAAAAACGACAAGATGAGTTATGAAGAAATACATTTGCATCTGCATTTGTCTCAAAAAAGGCACCATTTTGTCAAAATAGAAGTTGCAGTTGCAGTTGTCTCAAAAAAGGCACCATTTTGTCAAAATAGAAGTTGCAGTTGCAGTTGTCTCCCAAAATAACAAACACATTGAAAATACATTAACTTACAGGACGTTACGAGAAGACTTATAATGTGCATTTAAAAAAAATTCTATAAAATATTTTTTATACATATTTTTTTCTCATTGTAATATTTATAATCATAGTCGTTTCAGTTTAAGTTTTAGTTGATTGCCAGCACGTTATGTGAATAACAGGTAAGGTTTTTGTTGTCCTTTTTTAGGAAACGAAACTAAGATTGGTCAACATTTCACCTCCTCCGACGAACTCCATCTATTTGAATCTGAGCGAAATAAGATATGGGAAGGTAATAAATGTTTCCGTTGCACTTCAATGTCTTATCAAAATATCGAAATTGCAGTCACTGATGATGACGACGATAATGATGATGTAATGACAATAATGATAATGATGATGATGATAACATTGACGTTGGTGATTTAATAGATCTATTTGTACCCAATTAAAATCTCCCGGGGATAAGATTCTTTGTATATTGCATTTGCATTGTAATGTGGCATTCACATTTAAATGATATGGAAATTCCTGAAACAAAACGTTTTATTCCCAAAGGGTTTGAATTGGGTACAACATTGAGTTAGCCGAATAGGTATATGAATAATCGATTAACATGTCGGTAGATTCTGTTGGAAATAACCGAAGCTGATATAGTGTACACTCCCTCGAGTGCCTTTTTATTATTGAAGCGCCTTCCACTTGCCACGTCGTCTGGTGTCCTGTTTAGTTCCTTGAACAATCTGCAACTCTAATTACATTCTATAATTTATTCATCTGATGTTCAGTATTCTTTGCTGTCTCTCCAGTTAAATGTACACATGAGTTTAGGACACAGTCCGTTCAGAGTCAACGATAATATGCATGAGCATATGGGCTCCCCCAAATTTAGGACTACTCAGATTTTTTGGGCAGCAAGGGAAATTTGGGCAAAGTCAGTTTTTAAAGATCCGAAAACCTACCATGACAGCAGAGCTTTAATGACCGCCATTTGTGACTTGGAGTTTATCTTCGGACTGTGTGTGCTGAAAGTAATCCTGAGCAACAATAGTAGTCTGTGCAAGGTTGGGATTGTGAGAATTCTGTCAGATGTGCCATTTTCCAGGGAGGGAGAGATTTACTAGATCTTACTAGACGTCGCTTAAACTCTCTCCAACTAAGTTTATAACATTGTTACTGGCCAAAGACGTTTCTGTTGCGTGCCCATATATAGTACTACTCGAATTTTGTTAGAAACGGCCTTTATCTATGGATAATCAGTTGCTGACCTGCAGCTTGAGCTGGGGCTATGAACGCCTGCTACGGTGAGATTTCTCTAATTTCAAGCATTGTTCTAAGCAATTACTTAATGCCAAAGTAAGCAGAGTAAAGGTCTCCATTGTTCCATGTTACAAAAAACGCGGTCCGGTGGTTTTGGTTTTGGACTCTTTTTGATTTCATCTTTTGCATTCCTTCTTCAGACAATCGACCACCGAAGGATCACACCAGCAGAAAAATTGAGCTGATGATGAGTCCCTTACCACTTATCGTCATAATGTGGTTCATGGCAGCGATCGGCATCATCTGCTCGTTGAGCTTTCTATATTTTAACATTAGTAAAAGCAAAAACAGGTAGGACTTTAACCTTGCTGTTTCTGACCTTATCCAATACAAAACATATTCTCAAGCAAAAGCCTTTTTAAATGGTTTCCGATCTCTAACCACATCTTGCATTAAATATAGGAGCTCTTTGCTTATTAACTTATTTTGATTTTTTCATTTTGTCAGGATAATCAAGATGTCGTCGCCTAAACTTAACAATATTATTATTGTGGGATGCATCTTGTGCTACGCCTCCATTGTTTTGTTGGGTTTGGATGCGAGGTTTCTCGATTTGCAAGGTTATGGTATCAACTGCAACGTAAGGAAATTTGGTCCAAGAAAATCAGTCATAAAGTAGAAAACATATTCTGCAATGCGGGAATCTGTCTTCACGATGCATAATGTGATTGTTAATTTTGACGTTTAGAAGAGAGCGGCTCGCATATGATCCCCTTTGAAATTGCTTTTACAGCCCGCTTATTAGAATTTTCATCTCGACCGTGTTTCGAACGGACTGAGTAAAATCAAACGGAAAGAAGTATCAATTGAAGTACTAATCTGAATGAATGGTTTGTACTAATCATCAGGTTATGAAGCTTTCATAGTTTTAAAATTTTGCATCGGTTTTTTTGCTTACTAACAGGTGAATACTTCAGTATTCTCTATTGGATTTTCTCTATCATTTGGTGCTATGTTCAGTAAGACTTGGAGAGTAAACAAGATATTTACCGCAGCCACGGTTAACAAGAAAATGGTACGATGATGGTATGATGTGGGAAACATTTATCTTCCACCCTTCTCGAGCGCTCAGACGTTTTCTCAATCGGGCAGATTTGAGTATACATACTTCATAGTTAACGGGCGGCGCTTCTCAAGTGTCGAATGCATTATAAGTTACCTTTAGGGTCCTGTGGGATTCATAATCGATGCAAGATATGTGTTTCAGTTTCAAAGCGCTTATACTATCGTTTTTAAAGATATATATCAGACGCGGATCTATGATTAAACGAGTGCCGAAGGCGCACGCTTCTAGGGTATCCCGGGGGCATACTCCCCCGCGAAAGTTTTTGGATTTTAACTCCCTAAAGTCCCTATTTCCTGGGTTTCTGAGTCCTTCAGACGGGATATTTCACA